TGCAATTGCGTTTCATCTTATGAACTTCTACGTCACTTTTCAATATCTGTTCCAAGTAGACAGATAATTTACTAAACCACTCACAAAAAGCGTGTTAACCACCTACTCTGTTAAGTTGTATGAATTTGGCCTTCGTCATCTCGAGAACCTATTGGACTAGCATGTCTGTAGATTCTGTGGACTGCAGCAACACATCTTAAGGTTTCAGTTAATTCACTGTTTTGTCTATAATCACCAATCATCGATAATGAAATAATTTCTAGAAGTAAAACAACAATACAATAGGAACAATAACGGGGCCGATTCGTATGCATATAGCATACATTTCTCTTTGAACCTAGCACACAACAATAGCATCATGCACTGTCCCATCGCCCATGGCAGATCAGGCAACCCGAAAGTTACGGGAACACCATCAAGGCATACGACAGGCTAGGTGTTCTTTTCCAGAAAGAAAGTTTGTGAAATATTTCAAATCTGATTGTTCTGTGTTCAAATAATTAATAGTGTCGTAGGCATGTCTGGTCAGAATACAATGATGCTAAAAGGTGAGTGTGTAATAGTTCTACTATGGACTTTGTGACATAGCTTTGCAACACATTTTGCATTCGTTCTGAAGATTACTGCCGATGTCATTTGAAGTTACAGAAGCTCTTTTTATCACATAATTAGGTTACTATGTAATCGAATAGATTGTAATTGAAGTCCACGGAATGTGAAAAATTTAGAGGATATAATGTGGATATCTACAACAGAATGTGCATTGGGCCCTAACCACAAAATCCTCAAAGATGAACATGAGACAACTGGGAAAATAGATAATCAACACTTAACGAGGAGAAAAACCCAACGACGGAGAAGGCGAGAAGAATAAATTCAACTGATTCGAATTGACCGAATGGCATGGCTCGAACTTGTTGGCGTGGTCACTCTTAGTTGTTGTCCAATATTTTTTATTTATATTAAATATATTGTGCTATGTCTAGTTTAAGTTCCAAATCGGCCACCTAAACGACTCTGTTCTGTGCCTAGACGCCCGACCTGAGAATTCAAATCTCCGGCTAGTACTACAATATCTGTCGAACGCACTTTCTGGAGAAGAACAGATAACTGGTGGTAAAATTCATCCTTCATTACATCCGGGCTGCAATCTGTCGGGGCATAGGCGGGGATGACAAAAAGACATCGTTTCTCAGGCCGATTTCTTCTCACTTTGATGGAACTCTCTAATCTAACAGCACATAACCGACTTTTAATAGGGATCCAATCGATTAGTGCTGCCTCAGCTCTAGTGCTTAGTGCGACACCAAAGCCAGCAAGACCAGACGAAGATGCCACAGGTTCCCCGGATATATCCGTTTATTCAGAAGTTAAGGCAACTTCATTTACTGATACAACAATGTTAGAATTATGGTAATTAAACAAAAAGAATAAAGGCCTTCATATTTTTGCTGGATATTTTCTCTGACTCAGAAATTCAAACATGAACCTCAGATCCCACACGACACAAAAACGGACAAGATGATCCACATCCACTAACAATAACGGTATAAAGCTTATAAATGTCACTTTTACTGGCATATTGCGTATCTTTTACATTGCAACCAACTAATGTCTGGCTTCGCAACAACATTCATGAAGCTCCCAGTAGCCCAGTTCCGTGATGTTAACCTACCAACTCAGATTACACAGGACGCAACCAACTAACTACCAAACCGACTACAACGGTTTACGTCAGTGGCCTAATCACCGCATATTGAACATTATCCGTACCGCAATAGCAAAAAGTGAGCGCAAAAAATCAGTTTAAAAGTGCTCAACACAAACATTTTAAACACTAAAAAAGCCGTCCGCTCAACCAACATAATTTCAATGTTGTCAGTCAATAATAGTACGTTAACAAATCCCGAAGTTTATGATGGATGTTACAAAAAACTTTATGATATTGACAATTACTATGCTCATTCGCTTGTAAAACTGTTCTATAATCTGGAAGTACATCAGATATTTAATGTTATTTGCTGTTTCTCAATAAAATATAGCAGTGCTTAGCTCAGTAGTTTACTGTGTTCAAGCACAGTGGGCATTTAATGGTATTCTGCGTTGTGTAGAACAGCTCAACCAACGCAATCGTTAGACGCCCTCGTTTATTATTATGAGCTTCGTAAAAAATTTTGATATTTAGTGTCTAGTGAATAATTAAATTTTTCACCACAAAACCCAGGAGTGAATTTGACATGGAAACAAGAAGTACCTGATACAAACCTTGTGATAAAGAAGTTGGTGTGGTTAACTGCATGATCAGAAGCGTGTTTTCAAAACGCATAATATTCTACGCTCACTCTCAACCAAAAGGCGCGATCTGAATTCCAATTCTCACTCAAGACCGTCGGTATAAAATATTCCCTAGCTTCCTAAGTTATATTCTTTACAGTAATTTAGATGTTCATTTGACTGAAACCACTATAACATAATAGAAACCGAATTATAACATTACCTACATAATCTAAAGCACAGAGGTAGAAAGCGTTTCGAAGAATGGCGTAATTATTCATAACATCTTGCATTACATTCAAAACCGATAGTTTCCATCAACAATATCCCAACCTCCAGTACCAACGTTGAAATCATCTTAAAATCCAGAATAAAGTGACAGTATACGGTGAAAAATCAACACCAGATTTGAGTCAATCATCGAACGTGACGAGTCATAACAGTCAACTCACAAATATTTTACCATGCAGAGCAATCCTATCATTACACAACCACGCACATCTGATTAGCTACGATGTAATTCAACATTATCAACTTAAATTTGAAGAGGCAGAAAACTATAGAGTCCTAGAACAAATCGAACCAACCAATAAATCACAGACAGCACATTCCGGATTTACTTACGATTTCTTATGAGGAATCGATCATAACCTTCCACAGAGCATTTCACATTTTAATCAAACCGAATTTTGTTGTAAATCACCCATAGAATTCCCGATGGTTAATAAGTGAATAAAAACCGTCCTGTCTCTGCGTTCAAGAAATGAGGTGAAGAGAAGGGTGAATCTAAAGATGATGTTAGTTTGGGAGCACAACGTCCACGGCAATAAAATCAAGAAAACTCAAATTCCCTTGCGATTTTACCGCTTGTTTAGAGTTGGTAGACAGGTTTATCGACGATCCTGAAACTTCTACTTAGAGGTAAACTATGCTATTTGGAAATAGGACACCAGCAACCGACTGGAGTTATGTCTAAGAACCTTTACCACAAGATAGTCTTTAATAAGAAAGTTCATATCAATCGACAATAAGAACGCGATCGTGATATTTACACAGCTGAGCTTACATCCATAGCTCGTATAGAAAGTGTGGGTTGCTAGTAGTTAGATTTAGCAGGCTACATTCACTACATATAATCCACCTTGTGTGTGCGTAATTTATCATTTTGCATAGAGATAATTTCAAGGCTTATTCACCTTTGTTTAAAAAGGTCAGAATACAGTAGAAAAATGTCGGCTCTAGTGTTATAGATCACATAGCCAGCCTAAGCTTCTAGATAAATCTACAGAAGTAACTGTTGCTGTATTGAGGAATAGCGTCAGATCATAACTTAGTCATTTGTCAAGTGTGTTATCGTAAAAATGGGAACTTTTCATACAACCTATTGAGCTTGATGTCGTGCAAAACAAATCGTTTGAAATAATACTTATCTAATTATGAAGAAATTTGGATTGTTCGAAACGCCTGATGAAATCACATTAGTGATATTACAATAACTAATGTCTTGTCGTTTTTGAGAACCATGTTTGATGCTGAAATCTGAAAAAATGCCGGTTATAGAAAACAACTGTGTTTTTTAGAGCAATTGAAGAAGACTGTTGCATTTCGAAAGTCCCAGTTGAACTCTATTTCAAACTGTTGCCTACCAAACGGGAGAAGAATAAAAAAGATGTGTATATTGAACTACAGGAAGTCAAGACTAGTTTGTGATACTTGTTATCACTATCAAATACTATTTATTGAATTGAAGTAGGTAAAATGGAATTCAAATTGTGGTCCTAATAACTCCAACAAGCAATCCACTATCGCCATGATTTAACATCCATTAGGAGGGAGATATATTTATCTTCGTCAAAAACGAGCCTTCGTTATGTTGAGAGCACTATGAAATTATAGTGTGTAGTAGGTTCTATCTAGATTTCAAGCCTCAATCAATCCATCGTACACGGTAACGAACATATACATATGGTTAATTTACCAAACTACAAACTACCGTCTGAGCTCAACTAGATACATCACTGTATATCCCATTTATATACATCTCCAAGTAGTATAACAACATAGTAGTGCCTTGATAACAAACAACTACAAAATAAAGCTATATCTTAAATTTATAAAATAAAATTTTATTCGGGAACCATAAGTTGCATGGTATATTTTTAAAAAGTTCAAGATGTATTCAGCAACCAACTAGAAGGTATGGCTAGGAACCTTTACTACAAAATATTAACTTTAATAAAGGAGTTCCTATTGTGGTGTGGGTTACTTATATCAACACATAAGTAGTATAGAATGGTGATCAGGCATAGAATGTATTTCAGTATAAGATCAAGAAGGAAAGGACGAGGAACGGAACGCAATTAGTATTAAAATACATGAACAATGAAATCTGAGACAATCGACTAATATTTGCTAAAGGAACAATCAAGTTTGAGACGATGGATTGATATTTTGCGAACTAACTACTTACACTATATGGTTCTTAGATTTTAGTGAGATGTTCTATAATTTTGTGCTCAAATACATTCGATTGTCCCCACTCGCGTTCTTTATCAATACGCTATCAATTGACACTAAGAACGCGATCGGACCATCGTTATATTTATATAGCTCAGCTTACATCCATAGCTCAGATAGAACTACTGTGAATTGTCAATAGTTAGTCTTAGTAGGCTACATTCATGATGCTTTTCTCGTAACGAAAAAAGTTCGAAAGATGACCATTAGTAAATAAGCCCATTATTTTAAACTTGACACTGTTTATCATCAAGTGACTTTGTTCAATGATGAATGAAAAGACTCGAAATATCAGAACAATAAAGTAATAATAATAGTCATATACGCTACCTAGGCAACACACATATTCATCCGAATAATAATGTAAATAAAACGATATTTTAGATAATTCATGAAAAGATTAGAAAATTAGAAAAAAAAATTTAAAAAATAATAAAAAAAATCACAAAATGCTAAATGTAACACAAGAATTTTTTTTCGTAATTTTCATCATTTTACCAAAACGTTTAGTGAATAAATTGGATAACATAAAAAGGAAACGAGATTTCATTGACTTATCATGATTAGGGAAATTCTCGACAGTCCAATCATCATTGATTCTTACTTCATTATAAATAATAACTAATTCTTGTAAAGGTGTCGATGATATAGTTGGTAATAGTTTTGCTTCAACTGAATTGAATGCAGCAGTCAAAGCATCTGAATCATTATCAGGGACTATGGTAAGTAAGAAAAAAACGAATAAAAATTAGTTAGAAGAAAGAAGCGTAAACATACAGACAACTTCATTTACTAGCGATAGTTATATTGTCTAAACATCACTGACGATAGAAAAGTGTAATGGACATGAAACGGATCATCAAATTGATAAAACATTTTTCAGAGATAGAAGTAGGAATTATAGTCTGAATGGATAAATAAGATGACTAATTGTTAAGTCTTTTTTTCTCTATCCTGATTCACCTTCGATTCTTTTGCGTATTGTTTTATACTACTTATTTACATTCAGTAAATAGTTGTATTCTTAGCAATTTATACGCATACGTTGTAACGCAAGTTGTGTAATATTCTGAAATATCTACATATCCTTATAACGTTTATTGTATTTATCATTATAATTACTTTATCTCAATCACTGTAGCAGTTATCCACAATTGCGTACACTTGTTAAAACGCAACATTTTCTATATTATTTTGCTCCTGGTTTGGGTTTCGCTTGTTGATAAACTGTTACAAAGTTTAGGCATAACTATTATCACATGTTGTAATTATTCTTTATGTTACTGTTACAGGAAGGCCTTTTTATTTCATACATAGAACATGTTAAACGCCGCGGACACCACGCAAGTTGAGGTTTGTAACTAAATTTTGTATATTATTCAATAAAGAACCGCAATTTTAAACAAATTGTTGTTTTATGAACTTCGATTTTGCGCGTATCTCAATTGGGTGTCTTGCGCGCTTCGATAGACTTAACACTAATTAATTATTAAACATGAAAATGTAAAACTTACTTTCAGGTAAATCAATCGTTAAACTAACGACTGCTGAAGCCGGTTGAGCAATAGCCTGAAGTATTTGAATCCATGATGGAAATGGACAATTATTTGAGACAACTACATTTCTTAACATTGGATTATGATCAATTATTAGAGTGGTTAAAGATATTCCAGGTGTTCCAAATAAACTAGAAGAGATAAAAAAAGTAACGGAATAAAAGCACTAGCTGTGATGTTTTTTCCTCTCCTTGAGCAATGGATACAAATGCAGAGTAATGGTAATTTCTTAACAAATAATGCAAAAATGCAAACCAAACCAATTATTTACCGACTATTATAGATCATCACAATAATGATAAAAATAATTTAATAATATAATTCAGAAATTAAATGCTAATATTCTTGTAATGAGCTTTCAGCAGTGAATAACATCATCATTTGAATGAGGTCAGAGATGTTGTCCGACTGTGTAAACAGAAACAAAGGTAGCAATATTAGAACTCCTTGATGCATCCACTGTTCAATTCTGTAAGACGTAACACAAATCAAGTCCTACAATTTCTTTTCTAACAAAAAGAAGCGGCAGATATTTGTAGCTGACGGAAATGAATGTCAATAGTGGATTTTATATTATTGGCGCCTCATTTGAAAAATATATCAATGTTAAGAGAGATCATCATTGTCACAGAGAAATATAGCTTTATCAATGATGTCTTGATCAATATAAGAAAAATCTGCATACCAAAACAATTGTTTTATTCAGAACAAATGTACCAGCATTCAAATGGATTAACAGAACAGGGAGAAAAAGTAGATCAATCAATAAATGAGCTTAATTCATTAATCAGTGTAAACAGAATAGTTTTGAATAGTCCATCCCTAAATTGACCAGTCCAGTTTTCTACTGATTAGTGTTAGAGGATGGACCGAGATGATAGAAGATTCTAATGTAAATTCTCTAATATTTTTATCACTAACTTTCTTATTCACTTTTACCAAGATGTACATTGTTACTTTCCAATTATTGTTCTGATTCAAACGAAGTATCATGATGCAGGAATACTAAAAAAACTGAATAATATAATAATCCAGTCAAAAAACTTAATAATCTCCGCAACCCTATACCGATAATTACCATGTGCTCACTAGTGATTAGCTTCGTGAGTGAATTCTCGAAGATCTAGTGAGAAGCCGTGACCAGTAGAGCTATTCCGTCCCGAGTAGAGACAGGTATCTACCTCAGTACAATGGTAGATGGTCGTGCGATTTCGTGGACCGGTCAAAGTTAGACATTAACACTGTTGAATGCCCGCTCAGTGGACTAGAGGTCAAGTGTTCATGCGCGAGACTGGAGACCCTGTGTTCAAATCCCGCGAGTGGGATCGTGGATGTGCATTACTGAGGAGTTCTACAATAGGACGAAACGGCAGTCTAATGCTTCTAGGTTTTCAATGGTGGTCTAACATCAATCAGTTCATGATTTCAGTTAATTTAATTTATTTATTAAAAAATTTTGCGAAGAAAAATAGTTGAATTAATGCAGTAGTCTATTTGTTTTATCTCCGCTGTTAATTTCAATTGGTTGGAATTTACATTTAAAAAAACGTGAATGAATAAAGGAGACAGATATTCATCCTATTATGCCTATACACAGAATAATAACAGCTTTACACAACAACAACACAAAAACAACAGTCAGCTTAATAAATGTCTATAAACATAAATGAAAGATTAGAAACGATATTCTTAATAAACGAACCTTTTCAAACTAGTTAAACAATGATAAGTTAGTTGACAATGACCCATGTCCAATATTTGTAAACGAATATTTCCCTGTTGGATAAATATCAAAAGAAAGATGTATTTTGACTGACTATAGAAAATATTTTGATTATGCAACGACGGGATTATAACTTATGAACGAGTCAATCAGAAACGATTGAAGGATTTCAAGGTCATAGTGATAACTTCAGCACCTGGTGCTCACGTGCAATCGGTTCACAGCGGATTTTAGACAAAACGTGATAATTGAGCGGCTACAACAAATGGGTCTATTGAGAAGTTCCTTTATTTGTGATTGTGGTAATCAAATGACTCGTGCAGACTACCGTGATATTTTCTTTCAATTTAATATATGTTGGAGGAAGAAGTCTTTTAGAATAAGGTTCTTTCGCTCAATCCAGATTGAGACTAAGGTAAATTATGACAACTGTTGCGAACTGGATAATAAAGGTACCCGTAACACTGGCTGCAGCCGTGTACTACAATATATACGGAGGAACGCAGAGCATACAGATGCCTATATAGACTTGGTTATGTGCATCGTGTCGTTATCCACAAGTGGCATTTTGTGGACTCGACAACCGAAGTGCACACAAAGGATATCTAAGCTATATGGTTGAGAGTGAAAGAGATTTAGCGACCTTATCATGGCTCCAGAGGCCGACTATTATGGAGCCTTATGGATGAGTTCTTCTATCGTATGTATTACGATTTTAGAGCCTCTGAACCGCTTTCTAACCTTGACAAATTTTTGAGCCATGTAAAAGAAGTGTATTCACTTTAATTCTTTGGTTTTGTCCAACATATTTTTACTCTATATTAGCTGTTTTCCAATTGGCTAATGTTTTTCAAGGTCACCGAAAATTCCTTCAAAGGTCGTCCATGAATTATAGTCTCGCAATGGGCCTACTTCAAAGACTATATAACTGAATAAAATGTGAAGCCGATGTATTTAAATCCAATCTATTCACTTAAGATGTAATCGTATCCCTCCGTTAGCATGTTAGGCACCGAAAGGTAGTCAGCAAGAAACTCACCAGTAAGATAATCTAAAGAGAACTGGTGCTCAATGATAATTCGATGGTTAGGGCTTTTGACTTTTAGTCACAGGTCCAAACTTGACCCACATCGGTTTTGAGAAACGGGTAGCATCACTAGTCCCAGAATTTAGAGTGACTAATAGAAAAGTACATAAATTCATACCTTGTAAGTGAATTGATAAATAAAAATAAATGTATCTTCCTTAAATTCCCTTCTATTAGAAGACGTATTGAATGAAACAGTAGACGATGACAAAAAGCTTGATTACCTAAATATTTTACATCAATAGGTTATGAGTGTCTAACGTCTCTAGATGCATAGTGATAATATCAAAAAACAGGCGCATAATTAACTATATAAATACAAATAAAGCATCACTGAGCCAAAATAACAATGGAAATTCAAATCTACAAAAAGAAAAGTAATCAATCAGTGAAGAGGATTTCTAGATGCTATTTAAACAATCCAGCAACGAAATCCGACTTAAGACCTTCTTGTGAAGTTGCTGGATAGTAGGAACAACATTGCTAGTTAACTTGGGCGATCGGTGAAGATAGGAATAACCCATCACTCTGATATAAATCGGATGAACCTGAGATCTATTTTCAAGGCCCTCTCAAAATCTAGCGAACCACCTGATGTGTATGCTTATGGACATGAAGCGTATGAGTCTCGGTTAGTATGGTTTGTGTATACAGTTATATGCAAAGGGTGGGTGCGTGGGCCATCACAAAGGAACGTTAGCTAGAATGTGTCTGCCCCATAATATGAAAGTAAATACTAGGAAGAGGTAATCATCAACCTCCCCTAAAAGAGCGCTCATACTTATATGTCATGGAGTGCAGGAGTGAAAATCTTTGCATCAGCAGTACACATGTAATGCGTAAGAGAAAGTCTATGGTAGCAAATACGTTCTACGGGACAGGTGATCATCTACCCTATCAAGTGGGTAAATATACTTACATATATGCTACTGAGTGCATGAGTGAAAACTTGTAAGCTCCCAGTACACATGCAAACTTATACATGATCATGGCGCGATCCCTGAGTGTCAAGATCTGGCATAACGATTTCTCACAAAATCACACCCATGTGGTGGATTTATGAGTCTTGAGAAACAGAGAGTATCTCCAGAAGAGCCAATCAACTTTACTAGATAAGGTTTCACCAACCTTAATACGGCTAAAAACATTAACACTTTATTGTTCAAATCCAATGAATAGAATACATAAAAAAGTATTAATCCATAGAAAACAAATATTACTTTAATTAATGCTGAACAAATTGAATTCAATAATTGATCACCAAATGAGGATTCCTTGAAAGTATTAAATTTTTCCAAAGTTTTCATAAATACTTCAGATGAATTATTATTTAACCAATTTAAAGATGATAGTTCCAGTGTACTAACAGGAAGATTTATTGGGCATTGTTTATTTGTTGAAATGTTTTGAAATGTAGAACATCCTCTTAAACGTAAACATTTTAGAGCTTTTAAACAATTCATAGATAATAAATAATTTAATTGATTAGGAGAGATTTGAGGATTCCAGCTTAAATCCAATTCTGATAAACAGGATACAAATGAATCTGTACACACACACAAAAAAATAATATTTCAAAAGAGAAATGAACAAGGATATGAAGAAAATATTGATCAGTACAGGATATAATTCAAGAATATAAAATCTACAGACATTAATAATATTGAAGGCAATAGTCAGTCAGTCAGCTACAACGTAGGACCAGGCACATATATGCATCGGTCCAAGTTGCCATACCGCATTATTACAGCAAGATGAACATCGGATTCATAGGAGTGGTTAAGTCAGTGGTGATAATATATAAAAGAAAGATTGCATATAAGGATATAGTACAGGAAGAAAGATATGAAGTGATCTTAATCTTTTAGTTTAAGGGAAGACAGAGAGTGTATACAATATTTATATAAATATTAACATTGGATTGGTAGCTGACAGTGGAATCTAAGACCTAAATTATGTCTTATATATTCGTTTAACACACGAGAATACTGGTACAACCAAACACCAATAAATATACGCCATACACCCAAGGGAATTAAATTGTGAGGAGATAAAATGAGTAGCAGCATAACTGGAAATAAATAAATGAGCCATCTTTGGTGTCGTCGTGACATTAGTCTAGCTGTAAAACGTCGAGTTTACAGTGCATCAATGAGAGTAGTTTTGCTCTGTCCCTTCAACTTAGGGATGTTTGAAGACACTTTGTGTTTGATCATTTTTGCTTCCGAAGCATTACAACATCATGTTTTAAATGCCTTGTGTTCCAGTGCAGTGATAACTTAATTGGTGTCATCATCTTGGAAGACCAGTTTTACAAACTTGAAAAAATATCTTACAAATGTCATCCTAGCGATTTACACAGCATCCATTATTTGTCGACGAAGGGACTTGGTACAAAAAGTTGAGAAGTGGTTATCTTAAGACGTGCAGCGTAATATGCAGTAAAACTATATAATGACTAGCACATGTAATTCCATTATGATTTCATAATTTGGGTCCTCAAAACAGAGCAACTCAGTAGATTAAGATAAGGCTACGAATAGAAACCAATGGCTATGGTAAGTTTTGTTATACATTTCTCGTAAAAATTAACTTCACTGAAAATAATCCTATTTGGTGGTAAATTTTAAAAACTATTTCACCAATTGTACACTACTCTAATTTGCTTATTTTTACTGATGTATCTGTAATTAACTATACTCCTTCCTTTAACCGTTCACAATTCCATTCCCCCCACTTACGTGGTATATGATTTATTTTGGTGTTCATTAGTATTAATACATTCTTTATGTAATAAATAAAAAAATTAATCAATTTCTATGGACATAGGGAAAACATACACCCTAGATTTAACTTGTTAACAGTAATTTGTCTAAGCAAAGATAGATATTGGCTAGCAGTGGAATTCAGGTTGACGCGAGTTTCGTCCCATAGGGAATCGTCAGTTAGATGTACCTGCATCCCAGAGTTGACGTTCACTCTGGGACTTCAAACTATATAACGAGGCAATCCGCACAGGATGCATAGATGTCAACATGAGACTGACTAATTGCACTTTTAAATAACAATGCGAAGATACAAGCAAAACAACACCAAGTGAATTCAAATTCACCCCACTGCACAAGCAGGTGGCTATCAGGACTCAGTAACTGAGTGGACCACGCGATGACGTTCAAAGCGAATGGTACTGGGCTCGAGTCCCACAGTGAACATCAACTCTGAGGTGCAGATACATCCAGCTGACGAATCCCAAATAGGACGAAACGCGCGTCAAGCTGGATTCCACTGCTAGCTACTATCCACTTTCGCTTAAAAAGCTTGTGACATGAGGCTATATCGAGGCCATTCGCACAAGATGCATATATTCCAACATGAGACTGATCAATTGCAATGCTAAATAACAATGGGGAGATATAATTAAAACAACACCAAGTGAATTTATAATTTGTCTATATATATATATATATATATATATATATATATATATATATATATATATATATATATATATATATATATATATATATATATATATGTAAAATGAAATCTACCTGTAGACAAACTACGAAACATTTGTTCATTTTGATAATTTACAGTCATTGTATTAGTACCACCAAGTGAACATCCAGTTAAATTCAAATAATTCAATTTAGGGAATACTTTTAAAATAGTTTCAATAAATCTTATCCAACAATTATTATGATTTGTCGACAGGTCATATTCTATTAAATTAGTATTCTCTAAGTTATCTTGTTTTATATTACAACCAAGTAATGGATTATATGAAAGATTCAAATAAAGAAGTCGTGGCATAAGTACATCTGAGCTAAAAATTAAAAGAAAAGAATAAAAAAACTGATTAAAAACAATATAATAAATTACGATTAATCAGTTGTTCTGAATAATGCCTAGACTCCAAATACCCTGATACAGCTGAGAGTGCGAAGAGTCAGATCTCCCTCTCCAAATGCTCTTAAATGACCATGTGAATATAACTAATGCCACTAAATTCCTACTCACTGCCTTCTCATGATGGGGGTATTGTTTACGGAATTGAGAGGACGAAAAGCGAATGTCCGTCGCTTTAACCGGGTTGGTGGACACGGAGAGTCCACTTACGGGAGTCGGGAACCCCTCATTCCAAATCAATGGTGCACATGGGATCCAGGATCCTAAGGAAAATAATGGTGTGTGAACCAATTGTTGGTCACCAGCTACCATGAGACGACTATATCTTCTAACGTTGCTCTACTGCCCTTTCGTTTAGACCTTTACGTCAAAGGGTCGGGGTGTGGCCCCCTAAGAAAACCACCCACTTCGGTTTAGGCACCCAGACAGTATCCCAACCCTGACATAAGTCCAATGATTTATGTGGCGCATATCTAATTGGTGCCTTCTTGTACCAACGTTTATATATTTAAATAAATAAATAAAAATCAGTTGTTCTACATATTTTAAAAAAAGCCAAGATTTTAATAAAATCGATTACATAATGATGAAATAGTTCAGTTTGAACTGTTTCTCATTTAATTTCAAATGACAAAATCATAATACCATTCAACTGTTATAGCTCAACTCGTCATACTATGATTTTATTATTTCAAATAATATCCGCTACTATGGTATTGGTAAGTTAGTCTAGAGGTTATTAAACCTTTTCTCAATAAAAAAGCACAGAGATAATACAAGAAAAATGTACTTCAACACTATGAGACCGAAGGTCCCGCGTGCAGGATCGTGGGTGTACAACGTTAAGGAGTTCCATACTCGAACGATATGGACAAGTGTTTTCAATTTTTCAATAGTGGTCTAACATAGCCAGAATAGTCCAAATAAATGTTCGGTCAAGGATCGCTACTGTTTCAGCTGTTTGGAGGATTCTTGGTCTGACGAATTTAGGTAGACAACTATTAACACAACATATTACTATAAATGATTGCTCCAGTTTGCACTAAACGAGCTAGAAATTGAACTGTTAACAGTTTTAAATATACCTTTGTCTAACCAAAATGGAAGGTACTGGCGAGCACGAGAATACAAATTGCTAGAACATCTACTAGCATAACCTGCTCCACAAGAGCAGTTGGATAAACAGATAGAGAAAATGTTGGCTAGTCTTGGTAATTTATCGTTGAATCTCGGAGTGATCGTCAGACACGTTAAAGTAAAAAAACATTAAGTGAAATTTTTCTGCACTAAGAGTCTTTTGAATTTTTCTGAGCAACTTTAGCATTAGCACTTCACTGGGTATGTCACCACTAAATTCATAGATACATAAACAGAGAATTTTTGCTTACTGTTAGAACCTCCTTTTCATTTATTTTCTTGGTTAAATATTTATTTCTAAATTTCATTGTATTCATTTTCTTTAAAGAGCTTTAGTTTTAAACGATGTATTTACTTTAAGCCTGTTCACTATTTAAATTACTAAGTTGAATATATAACTGCAGAACCTGAAGACATCTAGATTTATTTCGGTAAATAGCTACAAAATAGAGGCAGTACTAAGTGTACATAGCAAGAAAAACTGAACTCGAAGCGCAGGAAAATTATCGAACCGAAAGTGTTAGGAACCAGTCAGAACACAGTAAAGATTATTGGGAGACATGAATTAGCAAGAATATACTCCGTCAGATTTATTATTAAAGGAAAGAAATTGACATTCGTTAACAAAATCTAGTAACTTGAATTTAATTGTGGTTGGTTAAATAACATAATGTAACATCATTGATCTATTGAAGCTGAGACATAACGTACCAGAATGTGAAACTGATTAACGAGAGTTCGAATAAATTAGAAACCATCAATTCACCTACGATTACAAGTATGCCTCGCTCTGACAAATAATAACTAGCATGAAAATTATATCCAAGATTTCCTGTTAACTACGAATACAAATAGTGCATACAACATGAAGTCACTTAGAATAATGGTTATATTATAACTTGATTGGTAGAATTTAACCAGAACTAAGAAAACTAAACAAACATGACTTTGATCATTACACAATAATCAATGTACAATCCAAAAAAAAACAAAAAAAAACAAAAAAGGAGAGAGAAAAATACCCCTTGTCTTCTTTGAATCTCTTTGATAAAGAGCATAGAAATCGACTGAAAAATTGTTCATTGAATAAATTCATACTTAAATTTAATTTAACCAGATGTAGTGAAAGTTGACATAAATAATCTGTTAAATTAATACAATTCATAGAAGAAAATTGTTTTGTATCTATAATATCTGTAGTTAAAGAGTTACCTGTAAATAGGAAAAGTAGCAAAATATCATAAAACAAAAATATAAGCAGTGACATATTGATAAAGAATAATTTTATTGGTAATCTGTATACATTTCTAGCTTATTTATCTTGAAGCATATCATTTATGTCTAATGTTTTCTATTAACATTACTATTGCTCCATAGTCTAGCAATGCTGATGTCCTATGATAACTTGACAAGATGAACATATTTACCATATTCTATGTTGCATATAATTGACTGACCGAATGATTCCCCCTAACTGATAGATTCTGATAATCGTTTAAGATAGTGTGGTGTGTGTTACTTATATCTACATAAGTAGTATAGAACGGTGGTCAAGCATAGAATATATTTCAGTAGAAGATCAAAAAGGATAGAACAGGGAACGGAACGCGATTGGTATGAAAATACATGAACAATGAAATCTGAAACAATCGACTGATATTTGTTAAAGGAACAGTCGATGGATTGATATTTTGCAAATTAACTACTTCCAATATGGTTCTCAAATTTTAGTGAGATGTTCTGTAATTTTGTGCTCAAATACATTCGATTGTCCCCACTTGTGTTCTTGTTCACTACAATACTACTCTGATTTTATGAAAAGCTTACTATTTACTGTGAAACTAATTAATGTGGAATTCGGCAAGCAAGCATTACCACAATGTATGGTATACTTTCCTTGTCATCATTTATCACTTAAAAGGAGATATAAGAAGTGATTAAGATAGAATTAATCTTATAAATAAATATAATGTAATACTAAACATAGCTATTACAGTTAAATATATTGAAAATGTTTACAAATGACGGTGACTGGTATGTAGTTAGACGAAATTGAAGAATGTTTTTTCCATACATTTTATTGAATATTAAAAAGTTAAGTAGATATAAGACGGGGAATTTTTTCATAGTGTTGTGTCTAACAAAAGTACCAAATGAATATGGAGTTGTTTAACTAATAATCCCTTTAAAAAATTGTTTATATTACATAGTGTTTAGATTATTTGCGGTTATTTTAATTTTCGTTAACTGTTAACTTTAACTCATCCTGTGTCTATAAGACATGTATGGACCAATATAGATATTTTTATCAGTGCCTAAATTTTTTAGGACTACATCAGATAAAAAGAGAAACGTATTATTATCCCTTTCAGCCTTAAAAGTATGTAAGAATGTTTCTATGATTTTTGAATGACATCGATCTACATACTTTGAAAACCATAGCAGTTAATGCCAATTAGGGTCATCTTTTTATTGCATTGTGATGTGAATCTTGATAGAAAAGATTAAGCTTACAACGCGTCGTAAAGGGCGATTTCACTTTACGATTATGAGAAATGGTGTCTTTGAGTTGAGGATGTTCGGCGACTATTTGTTCGATCATCATTGTCAGTCAGGGGTTCACGATAATCAGTGATAACAGATGGATCTGGAAATATAAATTTAGGAATAGTGACAATAATCCAATCGGTGTCGCAATTTAGATACACAGAATTAGGTGGATATTATCCCAGTTGGTCCTACATTTCTCAGTAATTACCGACGCTGAGAATGAATGAAGAAAGTAGTACGTTCACGACATAGAGCCATAGTATGACAGAAAAGACTGGTAACTGTCAATTCAAGTCGGCCAGTTGGCTGAGATCCTAAGCGGTCACTTTATTGCTATGGCATCATATATGGGTTGAATACAGAAGTTAAAGGTTATTGTAGTATGGTTTTCTATCAAAGTCTTTATAAAAGTGAGTGAATTCTTACTTGGCTCTATTTTTAACTGAAATGTATCTCATGTCATATGCTATTACTTTCCATACACTTATTTCTTCACAATATAATCGCATCTTTTGTGCAGTACACACCGAATACACGTGCGCCACACAAGTCACTTGAGTTGTTTATGGGTTGTGATACTGCCCGGGTGCTTAGACCAAAACTTAAATGTATCAGGATATATGTGTTTAAATAATAATAATAATAATATGATTTATATATGAAAGCGCCCCAAATGCCCTGGTATGGCCGAGAGTGGGGTGGACCCGCCCTCCCTCTCGAAATGCTCTCACACGGCCACGCGTAAATACCCTCTGCCAGGGAACTCCTACTCACTGCCTTCTCGCACCACGGGTGTTGTTTACGAAAATGAGAGGACAAAAAGCAAATGTCCGGCGCTTTAACCGGATCCCAAATCAATGGTGCACATGGGCTCCAGTATCCTAAAGGAACAAATGGCGTATGAACCAATTTTCGGTCACCGGCTACCATGGGAATGCATCTCCTCACGATGCTCCACTGCCTTGTGGGTTAGACCTTCAGGTCGAAGGCTCGGGGTGTGGCCCCCTAAGATGACCACCTGCTTCGGTCTGGGCACCCGGGCAGTGTCACAGCCCACACACAAATGATAAACTGTCTATATTTATGGAAACTACTTTTCTTGCTTCGACTAACAATCAAATGATTCAAATTATTATTATTATTTACTACGTCATTATTCACCCTCTTTTATTCCTACTCTGTCTATACTTATTTTCTCGACTTATACAGCAGCTCGTCTATGGTGGAAATTCGACTCTTTCTAAACGTTCTCGAGTCACTGTCCAGTTTAAAATTGTATGTTGTCACCGAATACGAGTACTGGGGCAGTTTTTCTGAAACCACATGCACCATTCAAACTGACTGCCTTCAACGTTCGCACACTTATGCAGGTTGAACAACATATAGGACTGGCTATATCTTCAGAAAATCTCAATATCGATGTTTGCTGTCTATCCGAGACCCATATTCAAGACTCTGATGAAGTACTACCAATTCGCTCTCCATCTGTCGCTTTATAAAGCTTGTTTTACGTGCGTTTATACGAGGAACCTGTGGCATCTTCGTCTGGTCTTGCTGGCTTTGGTGTCGCACTAACCACTAGAGCTGAGGCAGCACTAATCGATTGGATCCCTATTAAAAGTCGGTTATGTGCTGTTAGATTAGAGAGTTCCATCAAAGTGAGAAGAAATCGGCCTGAGAAACGATGTCTTTTCGTCATCCCCGCCTATGCCCCGACAGATTGCAGCCCGGATGTAATCAAGGATGAATTTTACCACCAGTTATCTGTTCTTCTCCAGAAAGTGCGTTCGACAGATATTGTAGTACTAGCCGGAGATTTGAATTCTCAGGTCGGGCGTCTAGGCACAGAACAGAGTCGTTTAGGTGGCCGATGGGGACTTGTTGGTCGCAGGACAGATAACGAGGACTGTCTACTGAAAATGTGCACAGACCACAACCTGTTTCTGGCTAGCACTAACTTTTGGGACAGTCATCGCCGACGTGCCCCCCGGCGTCCTCCCTCTGCATCTCAAGCCTGGACTCAGATTGATCACATCACTTGAGTAAGGACCGAGAAGTCTGATGCTCGGAGTGTTCTAATGAAGTGGAAGCAGCAGCTGCATCTGGTAACTACCGGGAGCTCTTCCAACTCATCCGAGCCACTGGCAGCAAGAAGTCTGGTGTAAGCGAAACAATCTGTGAGGATGACGGGATGCCAATCACTAACATCCATCGACGTCTTGAACGATGGGCAGAATTCTTCGAAAGGCAGTTCAACTGGCCTGCTGCTCCGGAAACATCGGTCAGACCGTCCTGCCCTCCATGGCCGGTGACGATTGATCCACCAAATGAGGCGGAAGTCCACAAGGAACTCCAACTTTTGAAACGCTACAAATCACCGGGCCCAGATGACTTACCTCCGGCTCTTTTTAAAGATGGTGGTGACTTCCTGACTAAGGAACTGACTGTGTTGTTTACAAAGGTCTGGGAGCTAGAGAGTGTACCAACGTCATGGAATGAGTCGATAGTTGTCCCTATCTTTAAAAAGGGTTCACGTCGTTCCTGTAACAACTATCGGGGGATAAGTCTACTTTCGATTGCGTCCAAGCTATTGGCTTTCGTCATACTTCGTAGGTTGTTCAAAATCCGAGAAAGACTGACTCGCGAGGAACAGACTGGTTTTCGTTCTGGTCGAGGATGTATTGATCATACCTTCACCCTCAGCCAAATGTTAGAACACCATCTTACTTATCACAGACCAACAATCGCAGTGTTTCTTGACATCAGGGCTGCCTTCGATTTGTTGGACAGGACTGTTCTCTGGGATTGTCTATTGAAGAATGGTGTGCCTGAGAAGTTTATTAACATCTTAAAAGCCCTATATACAAACACCTCAGGTAGAGTGATGACATACAACCACCTTTCTCCCATTGTTCCATTGAAGCAGTTAAATTAGACAGGGTTGCCCAATCTCACCATTCCTCTTCAACTTTGCCATCGACGACATTCTGGAAACAGCTCTGATGGATGTAAGTAATGGTGGTGTGGATCTGCTGCCTGGAGAAAGACTTCTCGATCCTGAGTATGCGGATGATATTGTCTTACTGTGCGATAATGCCCAAGACATGCAATCCGCACTTAATCAGTTGGCAATCAGTGTCCGTAGGCATGGTATGTGCTTTGCACCTTCGAAGTGCAAAGTACTTCTACAAAACTGGCAGGATCCTAATCCCATACTCACCCTGGATGGTGAGCCCATGGAAGTAGTCCAGAAGTTCGTGTATCTAGGTAGCTGTGTAAGTGCTGGAGGTGGCGTGAGTGATGAGATCAATGCACATATAGTGAAAGCCAGATCGGCTTATGCCAATCTGGACCATCTTTGGCGCCTTCGTGATGTTAGTCTGGCTGTAAAAGGCCGGATCTACAACGTGTCGATGAGAGCAGTTCTGTTCTATGTTTGTGTTAGCGGGACATAGACTAGATTAAAGCATGCTCAATGCATGATTGCTTTGGTGCACGCTGATTGGCTAATTCTTATCCAATCAGCACTAGTCGATTGTTGGAGAATACTCTGGAATCTTCTTATGTAAAAACTATAAATATACTGACGTTTTTCCCTATTGTGCTTCTGGCCTGCATCTTGCTTCCATCTAACCTTGTTATTTGGAATATAACCTCTTTCCTGTTCAACCGTGTTCTGATTTGGGGTCTTGTCGAGTGAATCGGTGTCGAAGAATACTAAGTAATAGGAATGGCTGGGTTATACCGTAAGAAAGAGATTATAACAGTTTGTGAAACCTGGCCTCTCCGAGTTGAGGATGTTAGACGACTCTCTGTTTTCGATCATCGTTGTCTCCGAAGGATTGCTGACATCCAGTGGCAACACCATGTTAGTAATGCAGAGGTTCGGCGTCGTGTGTTCGGGCACAGAGACAGTAATGCAATTAGTGTCACCATCTTGAAACACCGACTTTGGTGGCTTGGACATGTTCTACGAATGTCGTCCCAGAGAATTCCACGTCGTGCATTATTTGCCGACTCTGGGACTGGTTGGAAAAAGCGGAGAGGTGGTCAGTATATGACATGGTGTGTGGTATGGAAGAAAACTGCAAAGGACTGGCTTGTGTTGGTCCTTCACGACTCCCTGGTTGGGGTCCGAGAGATGGTGGAACACAGTGGCTAGAGACGTTATCAGATATGGCTCAGAATAGGAGCCAGTGGTGATCCTGCTGTAACCTTCTTTTACTTTCTTCATAAAACGTGGTTGTATCTTCCTTAACTGAAAGATTTCTTCTGATTGTACCCTTCTGTTCCCCTACTATTACTATTATTATTATTACACTACCTTACACCTATCTCTTCTTCATTATCTTATTTTATTTTTTTTTCTTCTTAAATTCTCATTGTTTTGTGTGGCGCATATATATTTGGCGCACTCCTGTAGCAATATATGTGTTAAAATAAATAAAATAATTATACATGAAAGCAATCATGCACATGTCTAAAATTATGCGACGCAAGACTGATAAGAAAACACAAAATGTACTACTACAGTATAAATAAGTAAATTAAAAAAGTTTTTAAGTGATAGATGCTAAACGATTTTATGAAAGCTTAGCAAAACCATGTAGTATTGATTGATTTTGATGAAAGTCATCGGATTAATGTTATAGAGTTTATGTTACAAAGTGTAGTGAAGACTTCCTTAAGATCAGTTTCAGCTAAAATAGATCAGTAATAAAGTCTCAAAGTGTGAAGCTTTTGTGACACGAGATTGAACCAAAACAGGGAATATTAACCCCCATAAGATTACATATACACTAACACGATTGGACTTCTGTTGACTACTTCTAGCCTCCTAAGAGTGCCATTTAAAAAATAAAACAAACTACTGTAAACAAATGGTGATAAGTTGAAGATAACACATACGCGTACACACTTGAAGTGCAGATAACTTGCAGAATTTGGACATTTTCAAAAACACCCGAATTTATCTAAACATCATCCTACTAAAAGGATTCATCTCAAACTGAGTGAAACAATATTCTGATGATGGTAAATATAGATCTACTTGGATAATACATGACGTATTAGTGAAAATGAACCATTTACTAAAGGAAACAGATGTTAATAAGAAATTAATTACTAAAAATTTAATTGAATGATAATGTACCCTGAAGTTTTAATTCTGTAATCACTCGAATACCACCATCACGAACTAGTTGACCTAACAATTTACAACATTCTATATCTTCTAGAGAAAGATTTGATAAATCCACAACTCCAATATTCCGTGCTTTATCAATGACTGAATGAAGGAATGGTGACACAATATCGTGAGGAAGTTTATTTGACTTTGACTCTAAAGAGGGAAAAAATTAAATAATGAAAGAGTAATAATGAACAGCTTAAGGTCACAGAAAAGCAAACAAAACATGGGGGAAAAAATCTAAACATTTGATCAGAGTATGTTATGCAGATTGTTAAATTTGATGATGTCTATCACGAAGTGACTCTGTTTAAACAAGCATTGAAAACCAAAAATCATTGGACAAATGTTTCACTCTAGAATGATACTCCCCAACAATATACAACCACAACCGCACCAAAGAACGAACTCAGAATTTTCTTAACTCATGTCGAGTCCCTAACCTCCCGAATCACTGTGCTGCCACCCAAAGGTTTACGTTTTTTTCTTCATTCAATTCACGATATGACGTGACTACCATTCATCGTCAGCGGTGACTTTTATCTCAAGCTACACTCAAAGCCTGGATTAGTAGATGAGCGAAGAAAAACATTTAACAACTTTCAATGATTCTACTCTGGGGTTTCACTGTGTATAGGTAGACCGTTCTGCCTCTATAATGTGGCTCTTAACTGTTTGGTGGGTTGGAGAAAAACTCCACGTTGTCACATCATCTAATTGCATCGTAGTCAGTAATCACGGTTGTTTTCGTTTAATTAGTCGCTCAATTATAGATATATTGGAATAATTTCGGCGAGACTAGAATTTATGAACGAACCAATCACGTATAAAATATCAGGTCATGGATTTTGGCGCGAAATTCACTCATCAATTTGGTCAAATGGCGTTTTGACATTTTAGCTGATGTCAGTTCGTGATGAAAACCCTAAATCTAATTCCTAACCCTAATCATCAACTGTAAATCATAATTCTAATTTCTCACACTAGTTCATAACTTTCATTTAGTCCTAGTTAGTAGGTGGACATTCTCAACGTCACTTTAGCGTCTCTCAAAGGTCATCAATAAATTTTAGTCTCGCCATAATTTCTATTATAGAATTAATTGGAGGTATGATTTCTGGTATGTTGTAATCTTTCTTCCATCAAGACTGACTATGCTACACTTGAGACGTCCGTAGCGTGATGAAGTGGTATTGTCGTCGTAGTACACTACATTTTTCGGGTAAGCCAGCAACAACGACGAGGAACGAAACACACCTTTCATCATGGACTACAGTGTAAATAATAGTTCCCCCTTCATTTTTATTGATCTCCAGGTGCATGGTCAAAATCGGGAACATGAGTTGAATTTATCCTTATTCTTTATATGTTAGCAACATTTTTTTAAAGCAAGCTGTAACATTACTATCTGGTTTTTCAAAACAATGGGATTTAGGACAAGTTTGAATTTACAATTCAGTGGTTAAAAACCAAGCCATTTAACAACAAGCCTATAGCTCATCTGCTAAGTAACAACTTTCAGTAGAATGAGTATGGGCAGTACATCGCATTTAAACCGTATCAATCAACTATAATTCGTGAATTGATTTCCTCCGGTACTACTTCAAACACAGAATGTAACGTCATGATTCCACTATACGTAAAGAAGAATACTAAAGTCTGATATCACAGTCACCTATTAAAACTTATCTCCTAAGTACATGTACATTAGAGAATAGCATAATGTTATAAATTAAAAACTAATTTATTGATTAATGACTAAACAAACATCATTTCACTATAAGCTAGCAGCCAAATAGCATTTGTCTAGAAGTTTCATATTTCAATTAAAGCAGTAAATAAACCTAACTACTTGCTTTCTTTTCAAGTTAAGAACAGACTACTATATATCAAACATGACTACTGAAAAAAACGAATGGAATGGATCATTTACCATAATTCAAATGTGATTGAATATGTTGATTTGATGGATTAGTTGGGGGTTTTTGAGTAACAACAGACTCGTTTAATTCAGCTAAAAGTTCAACAACTGATCCAGATTGACTTAAAACTGGAATAATTGAAAATAAACGATCTGAAGGAAGTAATAGAGCTCGATCTCTAGTACATAGACGAACTAATTGTTCACCGGATACTGTGATAGGAATATTAGAATTAAATCCCAAAAGAATTTGACGTCGACGATATGCTTCAGTTGCTAGCCATGATACACTACGAGACCTATTTCATTTGTAAAATAAATATATGCACTTTTTGTTATAATAGTAGAGTAAAATAATTTTCAAATAAACCAAGATAAATAAGAATACAACATCCCATTCATCTAAACCATTATTATTTAGTAATGATCAACAATGATCGACTGAAACGTCACATCATATACAATCAACGCTTTGATAGAATATTCGATTAATTATTAGTAAATTACATATAATCTTAAAACAATAACAGAACATATTTGGCAGAAATAAAAACACAAATTAAATCATTGTTGTTATTTCATAGTAGATGTTAGTGAAGGCCAAACAAGCTTTTAGTATACAAGCAAAAATTTCATCAACAACAAGTATACTTATCCTGACGACACTTCCAAAACACGTAATGTGACTGACACGCTCAACTCTTTATCATCAAAAAAAAATAATCACGGAGACTAATCTGTAATTAATAATCTACATTTGGAGGTGAAAACATTGTTTCCTACGTTTATATTGTCACCAAAGATTGAGTATTCTCAAACACTAATACTTTGTTTATTAAAGCGCATAAACATAGGTACGAGGAGACACCACATGAATGATTCGATTTGTGTGAGGGTTGGGTAACTGCCCGGGCACCCAAACCGAGACAGATGGTTTTCTTAGGAAGCCACTCCCTGAGCCTTTGACCTAAAGGTCTGATCCACAAGGCAGTGGAGCAACGTAAGGAGATGCAGTTCCTTGTTAGCCAGTGACCAACAATTGGTTCATACGCCATTAGCTCCCTTAGGATCCCTAAGTCCATGTGCACCATTGGTTTGGAATCAGGGTTTTCCAACTCTTCTAGGTGAATCCTCTGTATCCACCAACCCGGTTAAAGCGACGGACATTCGCTTTTCGTCCTCTCAATTTCGTAATCCATATCCGCGCCACGAGAAGGCAGTGAGAACTCCCCTGACAGTGGTGGTATACGCGTGGTCATGTGAGAGCACTTCGAGAGGCAGAGCGAACTCTCACCGCTCTCAGCCGTACTAGGCCACTCGGTCATTTATATAATTTTAAGTTGATGAAAGGATTGTCGATTAAGAATTACTTATTGAAAGATAGAACAAATCAGTCTAAGAAATGTATATACAATGTTATACTAACAATAAAAAACCGAATTTCACACAAAACTTTAGGATGGAACGTCTATAATTTAACATACTGATACGTTTTTTTACCGTTGAAAGTTAAAAAACACCTACTGACATATTGTGTGTTGTGTTGAAACAATCCGTTTTTATGTAAAATTCTAAATTGTTGAGTTAATCTACATAGCTATAATTTGTAAACTTACATTGAATCAACAGGAACCAATACCGATATATCAGAAAACGCTACTTTAACTGAATAAGATGTTGTTTCTACAGAAGAGAAAAAAAAAACAGAAAAAGGGGCTAAATGTAATAAATGAAAGTTTAAATTATCACTATTGAAGAAAAGGTGCCAATATAGTGTGAAATATAACATTTTCTTTCTACTTACTCAGGTGAACAACAATATGTATATGTGTTAAAGTTACTCTTTCTGTTTCGCCGATTTCTTACACATTTTCAACCATTGGATATGACATAATTACGTAAGGCTAGTACTAAAAACCATAAACGAAAGATCTATTGCTCCCCACATCCTTGGAAATAACGATACAAAGACAGCATGTATCAAAGATCTGAGGAGAAATGGTATGATTACTCTACAAGTATCGATAATCAACTACTGGGTTGCAGGTTTAATCTAAATTCTGGGTAGAAACCTAAGTTCCTACAATGTTTGGCATACGCTTCATTAGGCACACTGCTAAATTTGTTAGAGTTAACTAGACTTAATATTTTCATACAAATACCATGAAATAATTGATACGATTGTGCTAACACTCACGTGGAAAATTGGTTTGTAGGTTTCTGTGTTTGATCAGAACATTAGAACTACCGGATCTAACTTAATGATCATTAGCATATAATAGTTTTGGCAGAATAGAATATCGTACTGAGTCATGTAGTACACACATGACAGAATATCTGACCGAGAATTTAGGCTAAACAGTAGTTTAGTTATTAACGCAGTTACAAGTAGTCCATACACAATAAAACCCAGAGTAGAAACACTAAAATCAATGGTAGATAGGATATTACAATTATTAAATAGTGTCACATATATTTTTAACAAACCTGACTGTCTATCTTTGCTCATCAACCAGTTACAGATCAGTATAGCAACAACAGGTTTGATATTTTTATTCTATGAATAAGGTTACATATCGCAATAGCTAATAGGCTACATGAATACGTCTTTTTCCATACAATTCAAAAACTTACACTTAAAATCAGGCACAAATTAAAAAGTCACTAGAAATTTGTTGGGTTTATTCATCTGAACGATTTAACTATGAAGTCATTATATTTTTGAAACAACTCTAATAGTGTAAATTCTACGAAGTCAGCTGCCAAGAAGATTCCTCTAACAAAAGATTAACACAATTTATCATCTTGTGCCAATATACGACTGATAGTGAGATTATAATATGATTTCTTTAACCAACATCTGTCACATAAATGACCGACAATGAAATCTTCATGAAGTAAATCACTCAAAGCTCCGAGAACACATGTTGCAATATCCCCCATCATTAATATCACTACTAAATAGTCAGACAGAATTCATAAGACAAAAAAAAGAAATTGTAGTGAAAGAACTAATAAAAAAGGTTACCGATCGTTTAGAGAGCATTTTTTACCTGGAAATTCATTTGTAGGAAGTTTGGGTAGTTTTAACTGATCATTATTAACTGTAGCTGGTGGTAGACAGTTATTCGTATTAACTGAACTATCTTTGCCAGAATGTGAAGATTCTTTGAAGGAATAATTCAATTGCTTATTACATTTAATAGGCGTAGAAGTAGATTTCGGTGGTAAGTGCTTAAGCGACCCTCCAACAACTGATGATGATGGTCCTGGTGGGAGTGAAGATAAGTTATCATTTTGTGTAGAAGTAAAAGCCATCTGTGGTAAAAATTCCAGATCCTCCTGACGGGAACGATTTTTACTAGATGCTGTAGCTGAAAATTATTGTTCAAGGAACAGACAACGGTAATACATTAGAAAATTGCATATAATCTGAACAGGAAGATACTACTTTCAATACAATTTCTTGACATTAATAAATCAGTGGCTCGTTCATCAAGTGCTGGTCAGACCAATATAGGTTGATACGAACTTCTTAATTAAACCTCGCATGACAGTTGCAATCTATAATTGGAAACTATGAGTAACAAGAGATAAAATAGGTTTCAGTGACACAGTTACATTTATTCTCTATCGATACTAATAAACATTGAGTTAAATGTTCTGTAGTGGATGATGAGAAGTGTGACTTAGTGGCTTTGGCAATCGAATTTCAACTGCGCCTACAGGTTTAAACAGTACTCCAACTACTTAAAATTTTAGCACTTTAGTCTAACCCACAAGGCAGTGGAGAAACTTCTGGTGATGCATTCTCGTGGTAGCCGGTGACCACAAAATTTTCATACATCATTCGCTTGCTCACAATTCTGGAGCTCACGTACACTACTGGTTTGCAAGGTTTAACAACTACCATAGGTGGACACTCGGTATTCACTTTTACTAACTTACTTACTCCCGTTGCTCTTCGTGGAGAAGCATAGGCCACCCACTAGCATTCTCCACCGAAGTCCACCCCGGGCAATCGTTTCTGATTGTTTCCAGTTGCTATTCATCCTTTTGATGCATGCTTCCAATTCTCCATATAGTGTCTCTTTTCCGTTTCCCATCAGGATTCCAAGTAAGCGCTTGCTTCGTGATCGATATTCATTAACCCGGTTTAAGCGCTCAACATTTGCATTTTGTCTCCTCGCTTCCATAAAATGTACCGCCGTCGCGTGAAGGCAGTGAGTATGACATTTCTGACAGAGATTATGGGCGCGTAACCTTATGACAGCAGTTAAAGAGGGAGAGAGGACTCTTCCCACCCTCAGCAGAACCAGGACCTTTGGGAGCAGTAGCATCGCTGACCCTTGAGCAAAATCATTTATTTCAAAGTCGAGAGTACAAACTTATACTTAGTTAATGAGTTCGTTTTAACTAATAATTATACTTGTTAAACTGTGACTAAGTAAATGATCTGAGGCTAGCCTGGAAACTTGTAGTTAGTTCCGCATCGGCTTTTCGCAGCTCAAAACTGAGGAGTCCACATTTACGATGGAAAAGCTGTCAAGTGCTTATAGACTATCAATGGGATTAGAATATATGATTCCAACACCCATGATGAAACTACCTGTTAAATTCCTCAAACACTAACATGATATTGTAGGAGTAAATTTTTTAAAATATGAACTATATATGAAGATTTATGCTATTTATCATAAAAAATAAATGAATTCAACATTTTAAGTCGATATCCTACCAGTACATTTTCCACGTTTAACATTTAAAGCATCAAAGTGTTCTTTCACAATTGTACTGGAAACAGATCGAGATCCTTTTGGTTTTTCGTCTAAAATCAACCAATCATTGTCATTTGCATCGATTACATGTGATGTCTTTCTACGTTTTGCTAAGTCCATACTGTCTGTATTACCAGATGACTCGCACTTATCCACAAAACTAAGTCAAGGAAAGATATAAAAACAATGAATACATTTAACATAAATGAAAGTAATTTACAAACAGCCTATTATATTTTATGAGAATAAAATTTGAAACGAAGACGTATTGTGGAGTTTGCTGAAGAAAATGCACAAAAAAGACACTACTTGGGTCAAACATGTTAACTTTGATTTATTTAGCAGGATAGTATCACTAGCTCACAAGTAAAATGTAGCTCACAGTCCCGTACAAGAATCCGTACTCAGTTAATGAAGAAAATCACACACTCGTAAGGATAACACAATTAGAATCGGAAGTGGATTGACAAGTGCAACACATTTTCCATATCCTATGTGACTAGTCAAATTACACAGCTGGTAAAACCAAAGTAGATGGGATGAGGTTCGAAACTAGAACTGATAGAAAAACAGTAGTGTAGAATTCATCGACAAACCTGTTCAGCCCACTAAAAAGTTCATAAGAAAAACGATACAATCAGCTAATGTCAATTGTTTACCGTGTTTTTGAACTACCAACAGCTTTCATAGCCTGTTTATATGATTCAACTGCATTGACTGATTTCTTCAATTTAACAGGAGGCGATGGTTGACTGTTCTCATCTTGGTCCAAATCAACCATTAAATCATCCCAATTTCGACTACGAAGAGATTGTTTGTTGAATTTTGTTTTAGATGAGATCGGTGGTACTGAATCCCGGGTTTCACATAAAGACGAACGGGAACCAGAGCCAGGATGGCGTGAATACGATTTTTGATTACTAGTATTATTTTTTATTGCTACTGACGACTCTGAATCATCGGAGGAATGGTTTTCAGGAGTTTCTCTTTTAAGATTACACCAACGATCATAATCACCTGTTTTAAGAGCAGAAAATAGGTAGAAACTAATCTAATGAAAAACTCGTAAATAAGTGTGAAAATAATATGACAAATTAGAAAACAGATATCATTTGGTTATTGTGTAACCCTTATTATTAAACTTAATGTTCGCTAGAATACACTCTGCAGTATAAACGCACGTTGATAAGCAGGAGATACAGGTGCTGTGATTTAAGAAACCAAGAAAAACTTTTGTATTCACACCAACATTTTGAAGTTACGGACACACCACAGTTAGTAAGATTTTTAGAAAAAGTGGTCGGGTCAGTATGTACGCGACTACTAATTTCACCATTGACTGCCGACGGTAAACTAGTCTGTGATTGCTTGAAGGACATTCCGCCTACGGCACAGGTGACGCAAGTTGGTAAAAGCCAATCAAGCCTTATGGATCCGCGCCGAGATTTCGTCGGACACCAACACACCAGGGCTCATGAAACCTCAAAGACTTCAACATTGAATGATCGACGCGCACAATCAAATAACTCCTTATCACAAGTTTAGACGTCGATACAAACTAGTCCTGAAGCAACATTATGCATTGAAAGATAGATAAACACATCCCAAACGTATTACATTGCTATTCTGGATTTTTTCAGTGTCTTCAGCAAATAGGACTATGTCACGTGTGTAGTGGGTTTAGCCAGTCAGTCAATCACAGCGTAGAACCTGATGCGTATGTACATCGGTTTAAGTCCCCATACTCCATTAGCACAGAGGGATGAAATTGTCATGTTAAATCCCAGAAGAGAGGTAGTGACAGTATGAACCTTGGATTTACTGATGAAAAATAAATCCCTGGATAGTTAAACGATCAGAGCGTTTTCTCTAAAAGTATATCAATGATGAAGAAAGTGAAAAACCTAGATTAACACTGCATGAGGTTGACAATTCTGATGGCAGTTCTCCATAAACTTTAACTCGACCAGTAATGTTTGAGTAGAGCTGGAACCTATTTGGTACATCTTTCAGTGACAGACACAGTTACAGAACATCTTGATCAAAAGAGTCAAATACTGCTTTAAAGACAACTACAGCCGGGCATCAGGATGTTCATGAACCTGACCAGTGGCGAATATATGGTCAATACATCAACGTCCAGAACTGAAATCGGTCTGGTCTTCCCAATTTTGCTGTTCACAACCGATGATTAAGCGTCAGATGAGACTTATATATATATATATATATATATATATCACATACCCCCAAGACGACTTCTTATCGCAGCCAAAAGTTCACTGAATTTAGCGCGTTGTTCAGCAAATGTTCCAGACGCATGACGTGTTGGTTCCCATTGGTCTAACAGATTTGATAAATACTCTCCTTGTTTATTCCTAGAGATAAAAAGCAAGCATGTTGAAAGGTAGTAGAATATATGCCACTTGCCCAGAAATATGCCTATACATACACATACATAAGTGTGGAACATAAAAGGAAATTCGGGAAATTCATAGCGATAAAATATTGGATTTGCTTATTTAGTGAATAGTAGTGGCTTAGTACTTAAAGTACTTAACTTTCATGCAGTAATTTATCGGTTTGAACCCCACACCACCCCTTCTGTATAGATAGTCGGATAGAATCTACAGTTCACGCACAATGTAGCTCGAAGTAGAGAACATAAATCTGTACCTGGTGTATGGATGATAACAAGCATTAATTATTTCGAACAATTAGTTTCGCCATTTAGAAACAGACTGCAAAAGCTGTCAACATTTCTGGGACTTTTTCAACAGAACAAAACTGAAGTAGAGTAAACTCACTTGTGCCATAAATTTGCTCCCCTATTTACAAAAATCAACGCAGTAGTCAATGCTCCATTGTGAATGGCTTCAAAAAGTGGTGTGGAATAATCGTCCGGATAACCTGTATCATCTATTTTTGCACCATGATCAAGTAAGTAAGTGGCAATTTCTGACCTATCATGAAATGCTGCTTCATGTATAGGCAGCCAACCTGCACCATCAGGTACATTTACTGGATGACCCTAGAATCCAAAAATAAAATTAAAAGTATGGATGATTATTTAGTTTAGCGTAAAATGACATCATATTTACACAAACTACAATTATAACAGTAGGAAACACTGAGTCTTTTAAACATACAACGGACCTAGAATACATGGACAAAATAATCAATTTTAAGATAAGATAATAACCCTTGGATTTAAGTGCGAAATTCAATATTTGCTGGTGGATAACTTGTATTCAGTTAAGTATGAAGTGAAAGTTTCCAGTATTTGGTTACAAAGATTCTGCAAACAAAATATTATAAATAACCAAGCATTACTAACTATCACAAAATGTGTTTAAAACTAGTAAAACGATCCTTAAACAATTGTAAGAAATAACTCTGCTTTAACTGTTAACTAATCATGCAAATATCATAAAACTTACCAAAACTGACTATATTCTTTCGAGAATTGTGTCCAACTACCTCCCACATGATATCCTTAATCTTTCGACAAGAGATATGGTTCAACACAATATCGAACATGCATCTGCAAATTGTGATTTTTGCGCATCTGTGCATACAATCTTACGTCTGGTTAACCACATGGTTTTAAAAAATGCTTTTCTACAATAAATCCTGTAGGTGTATAATTTTATTTCCACATTACAACTTAATCAGACCTCACTCTAATATAATGTTAGATTCATAAATATATACGAGTAAAACATTAGATCGATTAAGATCATCAACTGCGATCCAACCATAATCACCAGTCAAATAGTGTCACAGTAACTTGGTAAATCACAGTATTAAATATGGATTCGTACATAGTTACTGAACTCCGCCTGGAGTCCCCACCGGAGGCTACTGCCAGTCCCAAGCCCGGATAAAGGAGGAGGGTTGGGCATGGGGTTAGCGTCCCCATCCCATAGAAAACTAACTCGCTTAAAAAACGCTAACCAGAAAAAACTATTCAAACCTTTTAGACTCTGCCCCGGGAGTCAGGTCTTCATTTAGAAGAACTATGACGCCTCATGATGAAAGCCGAGTTCCTTCGGAAGTTACGAGGCCGATGCCCCTTCTAACAACCAGAGCGACCATTTATTTAGGTACATGGAGTGTTCGTACAATGTGGGACACCGGGAGAGCCCTCGAAATTGCTGCAGAAATGAAGATATACAACTTAGAGTTGCTTGGGATCAGTGAAACACATTGGACGCAAGTTGGACAACAACGACTAACTTCAGGAGAGCTTCTGTTATACTCCGGCCATGAAGGAGAAAATCCCCCACATACACAAGGAGTCGCACTGATGCTCTCCAATCAAGCACAAAATGCACTTACAGGATGTGAATCTCATGGACCAAGGATCATCATCATTCAAAACAAAGAAAGAGGGCATTTCAATGAACATCATCCAATGATATGCGCCAACCAACGACTACAATGAAGACGCTAAAGATCAACTTTACGATAAGCTGCAGTCAATCGTCGAGAAGTGCCCAACAATGGACCTGACCATTCTGATGGGAGATTTCAATGCCAAGGTTGGAACGGACAACACTGGATATGAAGACATCATGGGACGACATGGAATGGGAGAAAGAAACGAAAATGGTGAGAGATTCGCAAACCTATGTGCCTTCAATAAACTGGTCATAGGCGGCACCATATTTCCACATAAAAGCATACACAAAACCACATGGACTTCACCGGATCACACCACGCAAAACCAAATCAACCATATTTGCATCAACAAAACGTTCAGGAGGACTATAGAGGACGTGAGAACCAAGAGAGAAGCTGATATAGCCTCAGATCATCACTTGCTGGTCGCCAAGATGAAATTGAAACTCAAGAAGTACTGGACAATGGGGCGGACAATATCACAAAAGTTCAATACGGCCTTTCTTCAGGATACTAACAAACCCAACAAATTCAAGATAGTCCTCAGCAATAAGTTCCAGGCCTTTCATGATCTACTCAATGGAGAAGGAACTACTGTGGAGAGCAACTGGAAGGAGATCAAAGAGGCAATCACTTCAACATGTCATGAGGTTCTGGGTCACAAGAAGCACCATCACAAGGAATGGATCACTGTTGATACACTGGATAAGATTCAAGAAAGGAGGAACAAGAAGACAGCAATCAATACCAGTCGAACAAGAGCAGAAGAAGCCAAGGTACAAGCTGAATACACAGAAGTAAACAAACAAGAGAAGAGGAGCATCAGGACCGACAAACGTAAATATGTGGAAGATTTAGCAACGACGGCGGGAAAGGCTGCAAGAGAAGGAAACATGAGACAACTGTATGACACGACAAAGAAACTCTCTGGAAATCGCCTCAAACTAGAACGACAAGTGAAAAGCAAGGAAGGCGAGGTAATCACCAACATTGAAGAGCAACAAAACAAGTGGGTAGAACACTCCAAAGAACTCTTGAATCGACCAGCCCCATTGAACCAACCCAACATCGAAGCAGCACCCACAGACCTCCCAATCAATGTTGGCCCACCAACAATTGAAGAAATCAGCATGGCCATCAAACAAATCAAGAGTGGCAAAGCAGCAGGACCAGACAACATTCCAACCGAGACACTGAAAGCAGATGTAGCAGCAAGTGCAAGGATACTCCACATTCTCTTTAATAAGATTTGGGATGAGGAACAAGTACCAAAAGACTGGAAAGAAGGACTTCTGATCAAAATACCGAAGAAAGGCGATCTCAGCAACTGTGATAATTACAGGGGCATTACTCTTCTTTCAATACCAAGAAACGTCTTCAACAGAGTATTGTTAAACAGGATGAAGGACTGCGTAGACGCCCAACTTCGTGACCAACAGGCAGGATTCCGTAAGGATAGATCGTGTACAGACCAAATCGCAACTCTACGGATCATTGTGGAACAATCAATTGAATGGAATTCATCACTCTATATCAACTTCATTGGCTACGAAAAAGCATTTGACAGCGTGGACAGAACAACACTATGGAAGCTTCTTCGAGACTACGGCGTGCTTCAGAAGATAGTCAATATCATACAGAATTCATATGATGGATTACACTGCAAAATCGTGCATGGAGGACACTTGACAAACTCGTTCGAAGTAAAGACCGGTGTCAGGCAAGGTTGCTTACTCTCACCCTTTCTCTCTCTCCTGGTGATCGACTGGATCATGAAGACGTCAACATCTGAACGGAAGCACGGGATACAATGGACATCTATGATGCAGTTGGACGATCTAGACTCCGCAGATGATCTGACACTTCTATCTCAAACGCAACAACAACTGAAGGAGAAGACGACCAGTGTAGCAACAGCCTCAGCAGCAGTAGGTCTCAATAAACACAAAGGGGAAAGCAAGATTCTCCGATACAACACAGCAAGCACCAATCCAATCACAATTGACGGAGAAGATTTGGAAGATGTAAAAACCTTTACATATCTGGGCAGTATCATTGATGAACATGGTGGATCTGATGCAGATGCGAAGGCACGGATCGGCAAAGCAAGAGCAGCATATTTACAACTTAGAAACGTCTGGAACTCAAAGCAACTGTCAACCAACGCCAAGGTCAGGATTTTTAATACAAATGTCAAGACAGTTCTACTGTATGGGGCAGAAACTTTGAGAACTACGAAAGCGATCATCCAGAAAATACAGGTGTTTATTAACAGTTGTCTACGCAAATACTTCAGATCCGTTGGCCAGATACTATTAGCAACAACCTACTGTGGGAGAGAACAAACCAGATCCCAGCGGAGGAAGAAATCAGGAAGAAGCGCTGGAAGTGGATAGGACACACATTGAGGAAGGCACCCAACTGCGTCACAAGGCAAGCACTCGCATGGGATCCTCAAGGCCAAAGGAAAAAAGGAAGACCAAAGAACACATTACGCCGAGAAATGGAAATAGACATGAAAAAGATGAACAAGAATTGGATGGAATTAGAAAAGGAGGCCCAGGACAGAGTGGGTTGGAGGATGCTGGTCTGCGGCCTATGCTCCATTAGGAGTAACAGGCGTAAGTAAGTAAGTAACATATTTACTGAGTTAATGTATATTATACATTCATAAAATAAACCTAGTCCTGTTATGAATTCTACTATGACATGTCCACTTAGTAATATCACTAATTTATTAACTGCGTGAATGATAAATTTATTTACATCAAAAGACAATAATAACACTTGGATTCACCTGTTGTAGGCTCGACTACCTTTTGCCAACTTGCGTCATTTATGGCGTAGGCGAAATATCCGTCTACCAACCAAAAAACGGGTTCACTGTACAGCAGTTCGTTCCTTCCTACTTTATGGCAGTGAAACATGGCCGGTAAAAATAGAGGATATTCGTAGGTTACTAGTATATGACCATAGGTGTCCTCGAAACATTGCTCGTATATCCTGGGACCACCAAGTGAGTAGTGCAGTTATTAAGAAACGGGTACTAGGTAAGGATGGCAAATCGACTGATGAAGTAATGAAACTTCATCAGTTGAGATGCCTGGGACACGTGTTACGTATGCCCAGCCACCGACTGCCCCGAATTGCGATGTTTTATTGTGTAGAAGTAGGTTGGAAGGAAGCTAGGGGCGGTCAGACCAAAACATGGCACAAATCCGTGAAGTCAGTAAACAAGTGGACTGAGCCATGTTGGTAGGTATGGACTACCTGGTTGGGATCCGCAAGATGATATCAATCGATGGTTAGAGACCTTGAATGATATGGCTCAAAATCATTTGCAGTGGCGCAGGTGCATCCACTCTTTGTGTTCTCCCAAATTCTAATCTTCTAGATTCTTTATGTCCCTTATTTTTCCTCTTTCCAAATTTATTTCACAGGATTATACTCCTTGAATAAAATCTTCGAACCCTAATCTTTTCAATTACTGCCTATACTTTTACTACCTCTACCACTACGGGATTTATATAGACAATTGTATCCGTGTGCTAATGTGGTTCTACGTTGTTGCTGACTGACTGACTGACTGACTGACTGACTGATGCTAATTAACCCATGCAACTATCTTCTGTTCGCAGAATGATTAATCAGAACACAAGGAAATTCATTCGATCTATATTCTATACTTCATGATGAAAAACTCAGATCACAACCTACAAGACCCCAATAAGACATGAATAAATAACGATTTGTATGTAACTAAGTTGTTTGTAGTAATAAAGCTGAACAACTGGTGTGTAATTAATCATGAACGGCATTCGACATATCAATAATCAATAAAGTGGAAGCTTATGATTAGGGGAATGTTAAAATACCATAAACTGAATATGTAATACATATAATTTGTGGTCGAATAAACTTCACAATTCCACATGTTCATCCCTATCTAACAGGTTACACTACATATAAAGATCAAAAGATAAATATTATCATTTTAAAAAGAAACTAACCAAGACTTCAACTAATTTTACTACATGATTCATATCACCATTGATTGCAGCCACATGTAACGGTGTTTCACCTTTCATATTGGTCTACAAAATGTATATATATACGAAGGAACAAAGTACAAAATCCTTTTAAATGAACCACTCAGGAGAAGTAACAAAACAGTAAATTTAATAGTCAAAACGAATAGTCAGTCAGTTATATCCAATATAGAATGAGACATATGAACACCGAAATAGAAGAAACAGTAGTGGTATCGGTGATTGTAAAGAAGATTAGATATGAACAATATGATTAGAGAAGAATAAATGGATTGATGGAATAAAACACATCAGCAAAACTCAACAATCTCTACAACTTCATACAGATGTATATATAAAGATCCAAGTACGGCCATTCAATGAACCTCATCTAATCAATATAAAGAACCAGTGTAGTTCAATCTACGTTTATCTGGGGTGATGACTGCCACTGCTAATGTCCCCGCTAGCGTAGGTTTAGCATCGAATCCAAAAGTGAAACATGCTCTCCTAGACTGGATTCCAACATATAGTTGCTTGTGTACTATCTGACCAAACGAAACAGCAAGGAATCGAAAAGATGGAGGGGTACATCATTGTCACTTCGTTATTTCTGCCTACACTCCCATAGACTGTAGTTCGGATAAAGTGAAAGACAAATTTTACAGAAAGTTTTCCACCCTCCTTCAAAAGCTAAGCGCTTAGATGCAGTAATAGTAGCAAATGGTTTTATTGCCCAAGTAGGTAGTTAAACCAAACTCAAAGACATTTAGGTAGGCCTTTGTGATTTGTATGCCCCCAAATGCCCTGGTATGGCCGAGAGTGGGGTGGACCCGCCCTCCCTCTCGAAATGCTCTCACACGGCCACGCGTAAATACCCTCTGCCAGGGAACTCCTACTCACTGCCTTCTCGCACCACGGGTGTTGTTTACGAAAATGAGAGGACAAAAAGCAAATGTCCGGCGCTTTAACCGGATCCCAAATCAATGGTGGACATGGGCTCCAGTATCCTAAAGGAACAAATGGCGTATGAACCAATTTTCGGTCACCGGCTACCATGGGAATGCATCTCCTCACGATGCTCCACTGCCTTGTGGGTTAGACCTTCAGGTCGAAGGCTCGGGGTGTGGCCCCCTAAGATGACCACCTGCTTCGGTCTGGGCACCCGGGCAGTGTCACAGCCCACACACAAATGATAAACTGTCTATATTTATGGAAACTACTTTTCTTGCTTCGACTAACAATCAAATGATTCAAATTATTATTATTATTTACTACGTCATTATTCACCCTCTTTTATTCCTACTCTGTCTATACTTATTTTCTCGACTTATACAGCAGCTCGTTTATGGTGGAAATTCGACTCTTTCTAAACGTTCTCGAGTCACTGTCCAGTTGAAAATTGTATGTTGCCACCATTATTATTATTACACTACCTTACACCAATCTCTTCCTTATTGTTCTCTTTTCTTTACCCTCCTTACCTTTTTTTCCTTCTCTTTAAATTCTCATTGTTTTGTGTGATGCATATATATTTGGCGCACTCTTGTACCAATATTTATGTGTTCAAATAAATAATTTGTGATTTGTATAGGTGACTCTTTTGTACATTATTCTATACCTGATTTGAATTCCGAATACAATACCTTCAAGTGAGTTCAATAACTTCCATCTCTCTGACTTGAATAGTGGTCCATCCGTAACTACTAAAGTATAACTGGATAGTTGTGGTAGATACTAGTGTGTCAACTCGACTACCACTACGACTTATTACATTGACGTCTCAATGAAACCTGTGACTGGACTATTAAACATGCATTCAAATGGCGATCTATTTGAGGATCACATGGAGTGACTTTAAATCTAGTGTATGACCAGGAAAGACATTAGGTATGCTAAAATTGTGGCTCATTTCATACATTCATCGGAATATGATTTCGCAGAACAGCTTCGTGTCCAGTTACGCTATTGAGTAATTGCAGGAATAAACAAACCAGATTTAGGAAAATAGATTATTTAAATGCCAGGATTTTCTGAAGATATTGTGATTTTCAACTATTTAACTCGGTAACCACATATGAAATTCAGTCAGTTCGAAGGAACCAACAATGTAACATCGACTAATAATTTGTAACCGATTTGTATAGGCTGAAAATATCAAAAACAAAAAATTCATGAAGCGAGACCTAACTACGATTTTGCTCTATCATCACTGAGTGAACATTTACAGGTCTCGAGTGTTGATTGAATTTTTCATGACTTGGATGGTTAATTGATCAATTAATAATTTTCTTGTTTTACGAATGTCAAATAAGTAGCTTCCATATTGTGTATGATTCGCAGGCCCTGGGGTTAGGGGGAAAAGTGAATGTTTTTATCTTACGACATGGTCCCGTTGTATGAAAGAAAAACCGGCATATGTCGGTATATCACGACTCGCTGGTTGGGGTCCTACAAATGGTTAAACTCAGTAGCTTGAAATATTATCAGATATGTCAAAGAAGACAAACCAGTTCTTTACATCTTTCATAAAAGCGAGAGGAACACGCTTATCTGAAATAAGCCCCTCTGCGCCACATTGTTAACGAACGGTATGTTCTGTTATATACTATTTTCGTTTATTTCTCTCTCATTGTACTACTTTTCCGTCGATTATTTTTCGTGCCCGATTGCACCAGAATTTGCATATTAAATAAGACTTAAATAAATAAATAAACTTGTTCATAAGTCAAAATACCGAGTACGCTTTTAAAGCATCATACTTTACTGAATAATAATGGTCTTACTTTTAAACAAAGAGCTTTGCCGGATTTTTTACCCTTCATGGTATCCTGGAATTCATCCATAAGTTCTGCACTTCCTATACACTGTTCAAGTTCTAGACAGAAACGAAAGTGAAGTACGGAATATACAGTGCTATTCAAGACTTTTATGGGATAAAGTAGATTTGGGAAAATGAAAAAGTGAATAAATAATGAAAAGTTACACTGAAAGATAAAAAGGTAAAACTCTACTACACTGACATCTTTGAGTGACTCTAAGATTGACCCTGTCAAATCTTATCTAATTATTAGCCAATTAGAATCCAGATAATGTAAATGAAATATGTATTGCGAAAACAGCGAAAAAATGACAATGGATACAAAAATTTTCGAATCAATGGATTTGTTCAAGTTTACAATGAGTTCATCGGGATTAAACTCACAGTAAAAACGGTATAAGAAATTATTCATGTAACTGCAAACCATCCAACCTCTAGAGTCTCTATATATGATTGGAAGTATCTTTTTAAGTACAACCACATAAACTGTGTACCTTCGCCACTAGTCATCTTTTTTCCTCAATAGTCAAGTGTTTTGTAAGTGCTCCACGATCACGTCATCTTTGAAACCATCTAAAATACAAAATGTAATCAACATCACAGAAACAAACTATCCGTAACTCCTTTAAGTGATCCATGTAAAATTCTGAAATCCCCCACTGGTAAATCTCCTAATTGAATACTTGATTCGGTTTCTTAAGCTTCTCTAGTAACCCCCAGGCTAAATCTACACGGCAACGTGAACACGAGAGTAAAAACGCGAAATGTGGGAACAACGCTTTACTTCAAGGTTAGTTTATGTACAGAAAATAGAGGGTATTTATGGCATTTCGGATGGCCATTTGTTTCTGGAAAGTCCTGGAACCCTTTTAAAAATAGTAGCAGGACAGGTAATCATCCAATCAGAAATGTGACGCATGACTTCTCACTTTCCAGATGTTCTTGAGAAACTTTTATTGAATTCTGATTGGACAAGATAGTTCCCAGAGTTTCCATGACCTCTTTGGGTGTTTTGAAGAATTTTCTGGGTCTCCCTAACACTTACCTTGAATGTAATTAGTTGGCTCGAGGCCGTCAGTGTAGCAGTTTGGCCATAAAATGAAAGAATGGAAAGACACCCATAACAACAATAATATCTAACCTGAATCAGAGGAGAGTGTCTCTAAAAATTGTGTAACAACAGTTTCATCATCACTAATCGATGATGTATTCTTATCACTATCTCCTACTTCTTCATCTTTCTGTTCGTTATCTTCTTCTTGGTGATCGGATTGAGCATCACATGTCTGTTTAATTTGTTCTAGTTCTTGACGTGTTTTTTGTGACTTATCTCTATAATTATACTGTTCATAGTAGTCTAGTAGTTCCTTTAAACAATCAGCCTAGAATATAAATTTTTGTAAAACAAAAGAAAAAGACAATACAAAATAATCAAAAACATATTTGACATGCATACAAGAGCATTTATATTCCTAAACATATCAGGCAGTTAGTTAGAACCAATGTATAGTCAGGTGCAATTGTGCGTTGACCCCAGTTTGTTATACAACATCGGCACAACGAAATGAGAATGACAAAATTCATAGGGAAACGAGTCAAAATAATGTAATAAAAATGATGATGAAAACTACTAAGCACTGAGAATACAGATTGAAATGATAGACTATATATATATATATGTAAAGGACTGTTTAAACTCATTATCTAGTGAGATAAATAGTTAATATAACCGCATCATTGTTATAAATTCTGAGCCATGTCACTCTACGTCTTTAACCACTGACAGAGGTTATTACGCAGACCACAATCAGGTAGTCTATATCCACCCACGTGCCTCAGACCAATAGCCAATGATTTTATGGACTGATGCCAAGTTTTAATGTGGATACCCGTAGCTTTATCCCAGACTATTTTTACACAAATAGACATCACCTGTCAAGATAGGCGGTGGATAAAGACACATAACACATTTCCTAAACAGATCAATCGACAAAGATCAGCATGCAATGTATTTATATTAATTATAGTTTGAATAAAGTTTACTTACAATTAAAGACATAGATCCAGTCAACTTGGAAGCTTTATAAGCAGATAACAATGAGTCTAATGCAGTTGCTGAACCATTCAGAATAATCTTTTGGTCAGCTTCAATATTTTTATCATTAGAAACTGTACAGGAATCGATTATTGAAATTAAACGTTGAGCTTGTGCTAAACTTAACCAACTTGTAGCTATATCCTTTGTGGATAGTCCAGTGGATGTGGCCCATAAAATTTCACGTTTATACATCTCAGCACATTGATCATGACAGCCAAGTGTACGATAAGTTTCAGCCACAGATATTAAAGCAGCATCAACAAGTTCGATAACTTCATTTGGAGCAACTCCTGATTCTGAACAATATTGTTTATAGGCAAGTTCAGAGAATCCTAACTAAAGTGTATAAAATTAAATAAAGAAGCACAAGAGTTTATATTTAGATGATCTATTGATAAGTAGTCAAATGACAAGTTGCGTATTTGTATAGTTACCCAATGTGAGAGATTACAAGTTTAACAGTTAAGATTTAATTCATTCGAGAGTGTATGGCCCATAAAACTGATACTGGCCACTTGTTTACGACATTGAACCATCTTATTTTTGTGTTTTTATTGCATAGAAAACCTTATCTTCTGACTAGCGATCTTGTCTTAAATTTGAAATTACTCGGAGCCCTATGTTAATAATTCCATCGCGTAGGTAACTGCTATTCAGCCAGGTAATATGACTGAATAACATTTATTGGTCAATGGACTTGACTTTTATTTTAAACAATCAAAAACTCGACACAACAAGTCATCAAAACTCTACTCCATAACACACAATATTTTTAAGCATGATTTCTTTTAACCATTGAACATTAAACGTAGGGTAAATATTCAAATCTGAATTACTGCTTTATGAAATTGATCAAATAAATTAAATCAGCATTAAGTAGGTGAAATTGGATTAAAGATTACTAGTTACTGACAAACTACTGAGGTTTCCTGATCTAACCCTACGCAATTAAATAAAATCAGTACACGCTACTGATCTAAACAATTTTGATTTAGGATTTCTGAAGATTAAACATATACTTTGCTGATGAGTTTCAATTAGAGCGGGACTAAGAGTCAAAACATATCTTGTTACTTCTCATCGACCACTGAGTATCAAGAGTAACTCAATGGTTAATTTTAATTTTGTGTAATAAATAATGAACTGAAATTATTTTGATAGAAAATTAACGATATACTAGATGATTCCGTAAAAACGATAGGATAAGCATAAGCAGTAAACAAAATTAGCCAGACATTAGTTTCCCTAACAAATTTGTTTTTTAGGTCGTCCATTACGTGTTTACGTGTCACTGAATCGATCGATATAAAACGCTGCGCTTATCAAAACCTGCAGTCTCACCCGTTACAACAATTGGCGACAGGGTAGAGAAAATTTTGAACCCTCTAATTGGACAAGATCCAGCCTAATTATTTCGGCCAATCAGCACTCAGATTAATTATCGGTGTTCTTGGAAGTCATTGGTTGTTAATTGGTCACAGTATTTCTCATTACCCTGCTGTTTCAGAAAATGACTATCCTTCCTAATCAATTGCAGTTACTACTTGATCGCCAATAGCAGCGTTTCAGAAAGAGCCAGTTGAATGTTTTGGACAATTTACGCACACAACTGCTAAATCTCCCATGTTTCGGAGATGTGAAGGAAATTGATGAATTAATTTCTCACTTGCATACTGAACTCGAAAATGACTGCAGGACGTATGAATACGAAAACAAAAGCCTCTATGAATCCCTAACGATCAGTAATGCAAACGAGGCAGTCGCTCATGATCCGTTCAGCGATTCAGAAATGTCCAAGTCAGAAGCATGCCCTGCCGTGGGTTCAAATCCCACTGTGCCCGAAACATGTGAGGTATCCACCTCACAAGAACTCCTCGTGCCAGAAAATGTGTCCCATGCATCAAATAATGGTCAGGAATCTAATAGAAATTTCAAAGATGCTGTTTATTCTAGTGACCTATTATCCACTGATGGAATTTTGAAGAGGTCTGATGAATATGTTTCACAAGAATCAAACCTTAATGACCTCATGTCTGGTGTCGCTGATCCTCATCATCTAGTCAGTTCTAGTGAACCCTCTACTCAATGCGCAAAATATGCTTTAAATGGAATCAGACTAACTGTTACTTGGGTATATGAGGACCCAACATTATTTCGTGGGGGAGGACGGACGCAGAAAATTCTAAAATTCGGATATCAACTCCGGATCCTGAAAAAGAGGGGGTGTTAGGATGTGCAGAAAAATATACCAATAGTTATCATGTTAAGTCGAATGTTATCCTTGGACGTTAAATGTATATTTCCTATTGGTCGATATTTACTTCACTTTTTTAATATTGTGTAAATGTTGTTTTCTATTTTTATGGTACGATGTGGTCTGCTTGGTTAGTATATAAACAGAGTGTGTTTGAAATATATGATTCATATCTCAGAGGCTGTGACTTGCGTTCTGGACTCAACTGGCTGGACTAGACAGTGAAGCAGGGCCAATTGGGACTCTAGGTCATCCGTTACGTGCTTACGTCACACCAAATCGATCGATAAATACGCTGCTTCATAACCGGCAATCTCACACTTTACAACCACAACTTATTGAACACGTAAGCGATTATGTACTCTTTGAGCCGCACTGTGAAAGGAGTAGCGATGCTACCTAATTGCTTATACTAAACTATGTGAAACAGCCCGTAACCTAATGATTAAAAGCGAATATTTTGACAGGAACAATAGTAGGGTAGGGTGAATACATACAGCATACAACCCAAAATGAACATAACACATAACAGTATTGTTATATACCGTCCAACCCACTTCCATCTGAAAGATTTGGAAAACTTAAAAGCCACGAGAAAATCATCAGATTCGGACTGAAATGGACTGTTGTAAGTTATAGCACTTTACTATCTGGAAAGTTCATAATTTATTAGATATCATAAATTTGAAGTGGACCGGTAACGTGGTAAGCTCGCAATAAATCTCCAGTTAGTGATAACACATAAGACAAAACTGTAACGCACTTGTATCATAAATAGGTAACCAAAAAAATAGATATTTAGTAAAGAGCTGATGTTTTCTTATAATGAGATCTTATTAATTAATAGCGTTGGGTTTTCCGATACTTCTAGAAGTATCTTTTCATGAAGTAAGCGATTAAAAAGCTAAAACTATCTACATACCTCCAGTTGCCTACTGCGGTTGGCATAGACCTGACACTAGTACCTGTACTAAGATTCCGTAACTGCGCATATATTTTAAGCAAAATTAAGAAAAAAATTTTTGGAGCTATGATCAAACATGCACGGGAAATCAATATTAAGTGTATTTCTTATTTATCCGTAAAATATAAATCGAGTGACATTTCTTTTTAATTCTTACCGATATTTCTGATATTTTACACACAGATTTATTTTATTTATTTATTTGAACACAAATATTGGTACAAGGGAGCAGCAAATATATATGCGCCACAATAAACAATGAGAATAGCAAGAGAGAAAAAAGAAGGTAAGGGCCGCAAAAGAAGAAAAACAACAATAACGACCACAGATTTGTGTAAGGTGGTTTAGTAATAATGATAATAATAATAATAGCAATAATGATAATAATAATCATAATAATAATAATAGAGGAAAAAGAAAGGTACAACCAGAAGAAATCTTTCAGTTAAGGAAGATACAACCACGTTTTATGAAGAAAGTAAAAGAAGGTTACAGCAGGATCACCACTGGCTCCTATTCTGAGCCATATCTGATAACGTCTCTAGCCACTGTGTTCCACCATCTCTCGGACCCCAACCAGGGAGTCGTGAAGGACCAACACAAGCCAGTCCTTTGCAGTTTTCTTCCATACCACACACCATGTCATATACTGACCACCTCTCCGCTTTTTCCAACCAGTCCCAGAGTCGGCAAATAATGCACGACATGGAATTCTCTGGGACGACATTCGTAGAACACGTCCAAGCCACCAAAGTCGGTGTTTCAAGATGGTGACACTAATTGCATTACTGTCTCTGTGCCCGAACACACGACGCCGAACCTCTGCATTACTAACATGGTGTTGCCACTGGATGTCAGCAATCCTTCGGAGACAACGATGATCGAAAACAGAGAGTCGTCTAACATCCTCAACTCGGAGAGGCCAGGTTTCACAAACTGTTATAATCTCTTTCTTACGGTATAACCCAGCCATTCCTATTACTTAGTATTCTTCGACACCGATTCACTCGACAAGACCCCAAATCAGAACACGGTTGAACAGGAAAGAGGTTATATTCCAAATAACAAGGTTAGATGGAAGCAAGATGCAGGCCAGAAGCACAATAGGGAAAAACGTCAGTATATTTATAGTTTTTACATAAGAAGATTCCAGAGTATTCTCCAACAATCGACTAGTGCTGATTGGATAAGAATTAGCCAATCAGCGTGCACCAAAGCAATCATGCATTGAGCATGCTTTAATCTAGTCTATGTCCCGCTAACACAAACATAGAACAGAACTGCTCTCATCGACACGTTGTAGATCCGGCCTTTTACAGCCAGACTAACATCACGAAGGCGCCAAAGATGGTCCAGATTGGCATAAGCCGATCTGGCTTTCACTATATGTGCATTGATCTCATCACTCACGCCACCTCCAGCACTTACACAGCTACCTAGATACACGAACTTCTGGACTACTTCCATGGGCTCACCATCCAGGGTGAGTATGGGATTAGGATCCTGCCAGTTTTGTAGAAGTACTTTGCACTTCGAAGGTGCAAAGCACATACCATGCCTACGGACACTGATTGCCAACTGATTAAGTGCGGATTGCATGTCTTGGGCATTATCGCACAGTAAGACAATATCATCCGCATACTCAGGATCGAGAAGTCTTTCTCCAGGCAGCAGATCCACACCGCCATTACTTACATCCATCAGAGCTGTTTCCAGAATGTCGTCGATGGCAAAGTTGAAGAGGAATGGTGAGATTGGGCAACCCTGTCTAATTTAACTGCTTCAATGGAACAATGGGAGAAAGGTGGTTGTATGTCATCACTCTACCTGAGGTGTTTGTATATAGGGCTTTTAAGATGTTAATAAACTTCTCAGGCACACCATTCTTCAATAGACAATCCCAGAGAACAGTCCTGTCCAACAAATCGAAGGCAGCCCTGATGTCAAGAAACACTGCGATTGTTGGTCTGTGATAAGTAAGATGGTGTTCTAACATTTGGCTGAGGGTGAAGGTATGATCAATACAAACTCGACCAGAACGAAAACCAGCCTGTTCCTCGCGAGTCAGTCTTTCTCGGATTTTGAACAACCTACGAAGTATGACGAAAGCCAATAGCTTGGACGCAATCGAAAGTAGACTTATCCCCCGATAGTTGTTACAGGAACGACGTGAACCCTTTTTAAAGATAGGGACAACTATCGACTCATTCCATGACGTTGGTACACTCTCTAGCTCCCAGACCTTTGTAAACAACACAGTCAGTTCCTTAGTCAGGAAGTCACCACCATCTTTAAAAAGAGCCGGAGGTAAGTCATCTGGGCCCGGTGATTTGTAGCGCTTCAAAAGTTGGAGTTCCTTGTGGACTTCCGCCTCATTTGGTGGATCAGTCGTCACCGGCCATGGAGGGCAGGACGGTCTGACCGATGTTTCCGGAGCAGCAGGCCAGTTGAACTGCCTTTCGAAGAATTCTGCCCATCGTTCAAGACGTCGATGGATGTTAGTGATTGGCATCCCGTCATCCTCACAGATTGTTTCGCTTACACCAGACTTCTTGCTGCCAGTGGCTCGGATGAGTTGGAAGAGCTCCCGGTAGTTACCAGATGCAGCTGCTGATGCATAATTTTAATACAAGATAATCTAGATTTATGCATTTAAACTGAATATATCCCCATGGATGAAGAATAAATATTCTACTGTCGGTGATTTCATCCACAATTTTATTGTGATCAATACAGTTTACAAAAGTACAACTAGTCATATAGTCTTTATAGAGTAGTTCTTTGATAAGTTGCACTGATAAACATTATATTTAGCTTCGAAACGAAATGTTTACTGACTGGAAATCTAAAATTTAATACGATACAAGCATAGATTCTTGCTATCAATGATTAAAGGAAAAGTCACCTAAAAAGTGACGTCTATTCGTGCCATACATCTGATATACTATATTTACAATCGTAAAACTATCTAGAAGTGAAATCAGCATATACGTCACCGATCTATTATAATTACTAATCAAAATTAAATTATTATTTTCGTTAGTTACAAAAGCAACCCAGTTTTATGTAACAAACAAAACATTTATTTAATATTATTGTTTAAACTTTAGTTGTTTGCGATCTAACGAGCAACCAGAGAGAGTATTCATCTTTATAAACACTTAAAATAATAATGCAACTCATGACACATGCTATGCTGCACTCATAAAGAACAGATATGAATCGGGATTAGATTTATTAGAGACAGAATAGTAACATTTTCTCGATCGTATCAATTTTGATTATTGAAACTGAATGGTTTAAATCACAGAACAGTTCCAAGCAAGCTACAAATATATTTTTCATACACATATTTAATTCAAAATAGTTCATATGAAACTAAGACCAAGTATGAACTGTAGAGCGTCAAAGTACAAAAGTATTACCTACTTAGTATCCATGGTTTTATTTTAGCCTACACCAATGGATACAAACACTTGTAGCTCACTCTGTTACTTCAAAACTATTGTGTCCGTTTATGATATTTTCTTTCCAGTACAGAACACAAAAACCCTCCTAGAGGCAACCTGAGTTACCATACATGTATATCAACCGATACTTGCTAAAATTCAATAGGATAGGAATACAACATCATTCAATACTCATAAGAAACTCTGATTACAAAGTCTACTAAATAACTCACCATAAACCTATAGTGTCGGACTGCACAACCTTGAAGATCGATTCCGGAATATAAGTCACCCAACTTTTCATGGACACGAGAAGACACAATATAATCTTTTGTATTAGAGACTTCTTTCGGAATTTCATTTAGTAAATTCATCAGTCGGAAACCTTCATATATTGGTAATGTTACAAACGAACTTACTAGTTCTGATCATTTTCCTGTATTGTTCTGATGAACTTGGTGAATCAACTTTTAGTAATCGAAATACTTTCATTGCTTTACGACTATTACCATAGCAAAGGTAGATCTAATAAACTAATCGATTATACAAAAAAATACCAACAAACCTGAGCAAGTAACTCTTTCAGATTTATATACAATAATTTTGCTTCGTTATCTACACATGGCTTAGATAACGGCGAAGACAAAGTGGTTCTAAATCTTTTTAAGAGATTAGTGTCAAAACTCACTGAACAATTTCCAATGCTTTCTTTGTCTCATTTTGATTCATAAGTTTTAAAAATTCAGTGTGACAACATTCAGTGAAGGCATGTGTTGGGATATTGTTTATCAACATTTCACCAGCTTGATAAGAAGCACGAAAAAGTATTTTTTGTAAACTATACTTTCGTGCTAGTGTAGTGCACTGTGAAAAACTTTCGAAAGCAGCGTCATAAAGTCGTTGTGCTCGCTGAACGTGACCTAGGAGGTTAGTTAACAAATATACACCTACCAAGGTTAAGTAAGGATACCGCACGCATTTCAGCAGAATTTTTGTCATCTAAGTTAGGAGACAGTTCCCTAATTAACTTTATGCTATTTAGCAGTGCTTGATTAGCAGACTTAAGACTTTTGGCAATCAAAGAACCATCTTTCAAAGTCTCTACACGATTTAGAAAGCACCGGCCTAATGTCACATAGGCCCTCTGTTGTTCTGTTTTGTTCCCAATAAGTAAAGACAGTTGGAGATATCGATTGGTGTGAAAGATCGCTTGAGTGAAGTCACACATCTCTATGTAGCACTCTGCTAGATACCTGTTAGCAACTGCACACTGAAGATTGTCTTCTTTGGATTCCCATAGTTCAAGATACTTTTTGTATTCAACTAGCGCAGAATCATGAGAACCTTAATAATAATTGTGGTCTGTATTTGAACAATTACCTTGTTCAGAATAAATTGCAGCTATGGTTAAAGTCAGTTCCGCCTTTTCTTTGGTTACTTTGGTTTTCGCTCGTTGCTCTATCAACTCTGGAAAGAATATATATAAGAGGGGTATTCGTATGTTACTTCTGACGTTCATTTTTTTACAACAGATGGGATGGGCTAAACTGAAAAACTCGGTTGAGTATTAATTATTGTCTAATCCGACGTGATGTAATCACTGCACAAGATTCGAAAACAACAGTAAATCCGGTGATAACAACATAAATACCTGTAAAAGAAAAGGTAATTTAGTCGATACTAAAATAAAAATATCTCGTGACTTGATAAATTCAATGAATCAGTCACAACCTAGAACCTGATACGTGTTTACATCGGCTTGAGTTTCTATACCCCAACAGTATAGAGATGTAATTATCAGGTCAAATCCCATAACAGTAGAGGTAGTAACACTATTAGTTGTAATGGGAAAGATTAGGGATCAGAGATACTAGAGAACAAAATATAAATTAGTGGAATATAGACAAAAAAGTTATGAGGAATTTAAAATTTCAGAATTTGAATGACCGACAGTCGGTCTACATGCGCCGTTACAAACACTTTTGAGTCACGTTTTCCAGTCTCTAAACATTGGTTATGAAAAGTAGTCTAAACCTACTAAGATGGTTCAGTTCAATCGTCAGTGACTCCATGGACTGATGTTGTGTTTTGGCTTGGATTTGATACACATGAAAACAGTGGTGAGTCGAAAACTTAAGACGCACAACTCATAAGCGCTGTCGATACATCAAATGTATCTAAAATTTGCACAGGTTGGTAATAAAGTCAACTTGGAACAGCACTAGCGTCAGAAAATGCTTGACTCATTTTACGACGATCAGCTTCCACAGTTGGACATTTTTGTACTACTACTAAGAGTTGATTACAACCTACAGAACATTAGAGAATAATTTCGTGCCTAATATACCCTTTCCATTTATTTTAACTAGGTAAAAGAAAACTCATATAACCCAATAAGTGCGTTCAAAAGCTGGAAATAAACCGAATCCAAACGGTATAACGTTTTTTCCACCGAGTTAACGACAATCGGAATCTACTACCAGAAGATATGATGTTTGTGCCTTTGAGTGACTTATTCAACCACTTGATAAAAAGTTAAATATTAGGTTTATTCGATAGCGGGTTTGAACCCATTTTCCTGTGGCCCTCAGTCTTCAGTAATGAAGATAGTAGGTTATTGAACCTGTTTTAGTCCTTGCAGCTTGTTTTCGAGTGGAGATAGGTGGGGTATAAAACCCGAAATATATCTTCGTTAACGCATTTGAATGCTCAACCAAGTGAATATTTGTTCCGAAACCCATGTTGCCGTATCCGGTTGGTATGCGTTGTGTTGAAATCTCCAAAGATGAGGCAGCAATCAACCTTACTCCATATGAAAGTACAACTTAGAACAAAGTCGTCACTAAGGGAACGTAAACAACGGTAAATTACTCCTATAGTCACTAGCCTATCGAAATTTGGTCGTACAACCAGTTGCCTCACATGTGAAACAGTTGGGCGCCTCTGACGTACTCGATTGTACGCGAAAGTGATCTCTAACGTATAAAATTATGCCTTCATCACGACTTACAACTGTATAAATCCTAAAACAGATGTATCCTGAATAATTGGAGCACAATCTACATCTACAATAAGCCACATTTCTGTGACAATAAATATATCAGTACTTAATTCTTCCATCGTTATATTAGCTTGGACGTTTTATCTCTGACTACAAGCATTTGCGTAGCACACACTTAAGGTGTTTCGGGAATTACTCGAAATACCCGAAAACTCTGATCCCCAAGGTTTGTTTCACCATTTTGCCTTCGAGTTTTTAACACAGTAAGAGCGCTTTTCATTTAATTCGATCAAATGACCACTCTGGTCGAATACGAATATTCGAGTCACGAATTTTTTATGCCTCATTTAGTATAACTTCCTTTTCTTTGTTACTTACAGGTAACACCTTTAGGATTCTCTTCGGCTGGGTCTTGCTTTCAACGCCTCCACAGTCTTATTATCTTATTAATGTGTATTATCAAAGCCTTTCTTAAATTTCTGAAAACAGAGTCGGCCAACTGTGGATTGTGTGAATGATGTTTGGCAAGCTTATTTTTTAGCTCCCTCATATTCAAGATCAACGGGAAAGGATTTGACTTGTTTGAAAGCCGTGTTTACGACTTTCGTAAACACCTAAGACGAGGGAAGGACGTACCAGGGCATCTGAGGGCCTAACTACCGAGAGTTTTCCTTTGATGGTTCTTTTTAATGACTTTTGAATCAGCCCGTTTACTTACGTTATACAATTTGTCTCGTAATTTTTACTCCGCACATCGTACAGTTACGTTCAACTCACCAGCAGTGTTTGGAGTAAGTGCACTTTCGACAGGTGGTAATATTTTATCCTGACAGTTTGTGATTTGTCACGATTACGCGTAACAAGAGTTCCGACGAAGGCATTCCTCGCTTTGAGACTTGACAATGGGTGTCCCAACCCTTCTATAAAGGATAAGAGCCAAGCTGACTACTGTCGATTACGCTCTTGCTTTTCTCCTCGTCTGATGCCACACTTATTGCGGAGTCATGTTCACTTGGCGATTTCCTCATCAGAGTGAAAAGCTCTAGAACTTTTCCTAGAAGGATCGCCTTAGGCAACAAACTTTACATAACTTGAGTGAGGTCTGTTTGTAGCAAAGTTTATACGCAGTCTTTGACATATTGACACATTCCATGAAATCATCTTTTACAGGGAAAAGGCACAATAACCATCAGAGTTGATGATTTTGAACGACTACCTCAACCAGTATGTGGATAAAACAAGAAAAAGTTCAAGAGAGCTAGTCACGAAAAATAGGATAACGATAACGTTAAAAGTGTAACTACAAAAAAGTGCGATAGTGGTTTCATCTAGCAATGGTTGAAGCAAAACTTTAGAAAGATTAATGAGCTTAATAATAGGAAAATAGTAAATATGTATACACACGCGTTGGTTGACAAACAAAAGGATTCACTTAGTGTAAACTGATATAGAGAGGTGTAGAGAAAGTAATTTACATTTCTGGACAGTGCCAAAAGCGTTAATTTGAGTTCCAATTCAGCTTTAGACACGATAAAAGCTGCAGAAATCTAGTACCTCAAAACATTGAAAAACATTTCATCTTCAGAACACGATGATTAACGATAAAACGAGCAAAAAATAAGAAATGTTTGTACCGAAATTTTTTAATGGCTGAGTTTAATCATTGGGGTATAATAAACAATCTTCAGAACATGTATATAAAAACCACCTACATAGTTATTGGGTTGAAACCTGGGATTCCTAAAGACCCTCGCGAAAAAGAAACGATCGTAAACTGAAAAAGACAAACAAAACTCTAGATCTCTCTTTTAAAACCGTGCTTGTGTTAAAAAAAATGGATCTTTACCAATATTTTAATTTTATGCATTTTTTAGATGCTTCATTTACTCTAATGAGCCTAATGAATGCACCGAAATGCCATTCCATGTTATTGCAAGAGATCCCTATCAGATTCAGATTTGTGTAGTAAAGACAGAAGGCCCACGGCCTATGTTATTCGTTTTCTGGTATTCTTCTGTGAGTGTCTAGTCTTCTCTTGGTTGAGTCAGTTGAATGTGCGGACACCAGTGCTTCGGGTCACAGGTTCCAAGAATTGATGGATCGGCATGAAAACCTGTATGCCATAGATATTTTGTTCGTTCTTGGCTTTCCTACTCGCCCGCTATGTTCTCTGAGATGTAACAATCTAGTTGGAAGCAAAAGAGAGGACATGTCAGGCCCAAAATCATTTCTTAATATTCTATACATCAAAATCGGATTACACCCTAATGTGCGATAGAACAGAGCAAAGAGGCCTAGCTTCGCAAGCCGTTCTTTGTATGGTAAACCCCGGGGTTCTAAAACTTCACGGGTATCTGCTCTCCATGTTTTTTTTCCGAGACATTTGAGTCACCTTCTAAACGGGGGCTTGAATCCTGAACACAGTTCTCAAGCTTAGTTCTCACTAAGGTTGTATATAACTTGGTGAATGTCCGTCTTAAAGCCCATAGTTTTCTCAACCCCTTAGCTAAGACCTCCCGGCAATGGGCCGTGGTCTTAAGATCATGACTCACTGTCACCCCAAGGTCCTTATGAGACCGGACCACGAGTATAGGCATGAAGATGGCACCGGTATTCAGTAATTGACAATCTTTTTACCAGTAACACCTTCTAATATAACTCGTACCCACCAAGAGAAGTCAAAAGACTGAATTGAGGAGATCAGAAATTGTATTTGACGATTGCCAATATATTGGGATTATCTGATTTAATCTGGCTAGTGATTGAAGTAGCAGTTGAGCACGGCGTTCCCACACATGATCTGGTGCGGATGCATGACCGAGCGCCTTCAGCTAGGTGAGTCCATTAAAACTAATCTGGTCAGCAACCAATGTCGAAAACTTACAGAGCTATTTAGTTTGGGGATTTATTCACCGCTACAGGCACTTCAGCTATGCTGTATCTACTTACTTTTGTATCTCCACAGTTCATGTAGATACACTTTCCCACATTCATAAGCATCAGCCACTCCTTAGACCAGTTCATCACAATACTTAAGTCTGCTCGAAGTACACATGAATCTGCCTTTCCTGCTATTTCTCCCCAGATTTTTTACATCGTTAGCGTATAATAACATTGAGAACTCAACCATACCTGAGAGATCACTTACATACAATATAAAAAGTAAAAGACCTAGGACAGAACCTTCAGGTACTCTGCTAAGTACCGGCCTTCAGTTGCAGCACTTCGAATTTACCCTTACTTTCTCTCTACGCACACTATGATCCTGATGAATCATCGCGTAAACCCCATAATTTGCTACTCAACTACCAATGGTCTTGCCTTTTTGAGCCTGAAAATTATCACCTGGTTTGATTAACACAGAACACTGCAAACAACAGAATAATGAGAATTCTTTATTAACTATTTTTCACTAGCTTACTGCTTTCACCAACATTTTGTTGATTGATCGTTGATTTTATTTCGTTATCCACTGTCCGGTTTATAACTAATATATTCCAACACTTTCCGCCTACTTCGACAGATGCATAGTTGCTATTATACTTTCCTCAATGCCTATGGCTTACTTGGAGACCCTTATGCTATAACATAGTAATATACATCACTACATAGCTATCTAACCCACAATCTATTTTTTTAACCGTCTGAAGATCTTGTAACATGGTGTAGATTCCAAACTCAGTTGGAAATCTACGGACCTAAACAAATGTCTACTGACTGAACGAAGTCGTTTGGCTACAGCTATTGTGGTTACTCCTAAAATTTCAAGCATCGTTTCTTGGGATATTTTAGTCCGTCGTTCGTGATGCCAAGCATACGTCATAAAACGTCAAGATCGAAGTTTTTTTAGTGTCAATGGAGCCAAATTAAATGAGGAATCTCCTTTGACAAAGAAAGTGCACTTTGATACTGTTATGTGTCATACTTCAGTCTTAAATAGGAGTAATTATTATGATAGTGATGCCAGTTCTGATTTGAAAGTAGATGACGCAAAAGATCTTAGTTTAGACGAGAAGCAGAAACCCGAAATATTAAAGAAACCACTTGCGCCGGTTGTTGCGGGTCATGAACTCCCTAAGGTAGAGTTGAGCTACTTCGATATACTGCCAAGAGGGTACTTAAAGTTCGTACGTCACTTTGAGACATATGTAGCGTCAAGAGTCATTAATGATAGTCAGGGTTTGCTTTACCTGATACATTATTGCAAGGGGAAGGTGAAAACGGCCATCGAGAGATGCGTCATGATGAACGCCCCCGCTGGTTATAAGAAAGCTAGACAGTCACATGTATATGCTCGAAAAACCACAGAAAGCTTGTTTAATGCTGGGAATTTAGGTTATAGTGACGCTCAGTAGTTATCAAAACAGGCTATAAAAATGGAAAATTGTACTATGGTTACAGAACAAATGAATTTTACTGTTGCTCTAAACACTTTAGCGACTTTAAAACGAATGGTGAGCCTTCTGCCTCAACCAATGCAAGCAGAGTGTTCAGACTTGGTGGGTAGACTAAGAAGAGACGATAGAGAACCAACATTTGCCGAGCTTACCAAATTTACAACGTCTCGTGCCAGAGTCGCTAGTAGTAGATTCAGAAAGTTGGAAAACTTTCAAAAACGGGACATAACGTGATGATGAATTTTCACTTGTAGTCTGAACAGTGTAATAGTTCGGACGTAAAAACTAGATGCAGTATCTGTTCTGATGACCACATTATTTATAAATGCCCACGTTTTTTAGCGCTTGCAGTTGAAGACTGGTGGCCCCATTCAAAGACCATGAGTATTCGCCCTGTTTGTCTCATGCAAGGACACAGATCTAGTGAATTTAGATTGACAAGGTGATATAACGTTGATAGATGTGAAAGGGACATTACCAATTGTTTCATAGTGACTCACTAGTCATTAGCTCGAATGATAAGTCTGGTACAGAGAATTATTGTGGATTTATTGTCTCTAAGCAGTCAGGTCTGTTTGGGAACGATTCCCGTAAGATTAAGATCGGTAGACACTGAAGTTATCAGTTATGCTCTTTTGGATAATGGTTCTGACGCAAGATTGACAAAGTCCGACTGCTTGAGATTCCTCGGATTAAAGAAAGACCAAGTATCGTCGTTAATCCAGACAGTGGGTATTAACAAAACAATTAAGGTTACGGATGCGTCTTCTAAAGTGTATTCACTAAATCAAACTATTTTGACTTTGAATACAGTATTTGTTTGTCCTTAACTCAAGTACTGAATGCAAGCGGCTAAGCCCTATTTAAAAAGAGATGGCGAACTGTTGGAAAGATTCAAAAAAACTCAACTAAGCTGATTTCTAAAACAATAAGGCCCCCGTATGATTTCTGACTGGCTAAACTGGCTAACTAAACCCGAGCTCTATTTAAAAGGACAGTGGTATTGTTTCTCGTTGAGTTAATTAACTGTTTTGATCGTAAATTACGCATCAGAACTACTGTTTTTATACTTTAATTGCATCTACCCCAGTTAAAGTGATATTGTATTGAGTGTTTGGATTTTGCTTTTGTGTACTTATTGCATCGAAGCATACTTGGTCGACTTTTACTTGATTTATTTAGTTAAGGTTTGAGAATCCTTTTACATATCATGTTTCTGTCACCGTTCTAGTTGGTTTTCTAGATGGCTAGATCTGCTCATAAATGTGGACAACCATATTGCTTATTTTTCGTGGAGGAAGGGATGTAATGTGATGTGTGTAATAAGTGGTTCCATAAGATATGCACCCGATTAAGCCCCACTGCATATAAAAGGTGCTCAAAGCCCAACTCTCATTGGCTTTGTAGTTTTTGTTGCTCGAGCAAAACATCGCTTATCCAGGAAGCAATTAGTTTCCTGGTGTCGGCTAATAAGAAGGTTGATTTGGGCTGTACTGGCAACATTGGTACTGATGGCGAAGATTGCGTTAGTGTCTTAAGTGCTGTCACGGCGCAAGCCAGACATCTACCTGTTCAACCCGCAGTTAAACGTTCTCCCCCGAAACGATCAGTGAGTGACAACTCATTAGACGTTGGTGGCCATATTGCTACAGCTACGACTAGTGATCCAGATAAGACAATTACTGTCCCGAGTTGTTTTAATGTAGACGTTTCGAATGATGGAAAATGGATGACGCAAAAACGCAGAAGAGTAGGAAAGACAGCTAAACCTAATGACTGTTTACTTGATAAGTCTTTGGTGGACTCTCAGACCAATCCGCCAAGGTCCCATAGTACAGCTTCGTCCAACATTGTGAGTTACTCGCTCGACTCCCAGGACTCTGTTACAATAAAAAATAATCGTAAGATACCAATAGTTAAAATACAGGATCTAACGTCACGGTTGAAAGCTGTGAACACGGTTTCAAAAGAAGCCAAACCCCTCTCTAGTTTAATTATTTCGAATCTAGAGGAGTCGAAAGGCAACGACCCTGCTAGAAGACATGCACATGACCTGCAGTTAGTGGAGTCTGTGGTAAGAAATGTACTACCTGAAGAGGTTTCAGGGGTACATATTACAAAAGTAATACGACTTGGTAAATGGGTTGGAGGTGAGGCCCAGCCAAGAAAAATCCTGAAGCTGGTTCTCATTAGTTTTGAAGGAGACATATTATTGAAAAACGCACTATGAACTCGTGGCTCAAATATCCGTATTCCACCAGATTGGCCGCTTGAGGATCGAATCAAGTGGAAGAATGCTCTTACGAAGTTGATGACTCGCAAATTAAATGGCGAAAATAACCTTACCATCAAGGGTTTTCGGGTAGTC